GATCGGCATGCCCGGCATGCCAAACCAGAGGAGCAAAAACTGGGAATGAATTATCAACCCGGCGAGAGATCTGGGACCTAAGTTTAGCTGGGTCAATTTTGGGCTGCGAGGGCATGAACCCATTTTTTCCATGCCTATGAGATATTATTTCTAAGTACCAATGTTCCCTTGAATTTTGTCATGCCTAAATATATAAAATTTTCGCTCTCTCATTAATCCTCAGACTGGATGCGATTTTGACGCTCGCTAGGCATGTTCAACTGAAAATCATGCCCATACCCTTATTCAAAACAAAATGCTATCAAATTTTAGTTTCCAAGCCGTTATACAAAGCTCTACGAAGGTGCGTGAAACGTTTCGGCTAATAACTCAGAAACTGTGGGCTAGAAAGACCTGAGACTTGGATAAATTGTTTATATATTAGTCTTTTATAACATTTCATTTTCTTGTTTCTTCCACTGGACGGTTTCCAATTTATTTTTTGTTACGTGACAGTGAAAAACGACCTCAGTATTGCTTGTCATTCGCCTGGAAAATGAACATCCTCGGTGAAACAGTGATCCAGTGAACTTAAACTCCAAAATTTCACAACACAAAGTAACGATGCTGATGTTTTCACAGGAGTTGATTTGGAGAGGAGAAATCTGTTATACAAATATCGTAGTTTTTGAATATGAGAAATGAAGATACGCTTCTTGAGAAATGATGTATTTCATTGCCTTTTCATTCGGTCACGCACTAGTAGCGATCAAAGTAGACCACGACAGCCACGAGGCAGCCGAGCATTTTGTTTGTCACCGAGGACCATCAACGAAAGATTCCGAAACTGAAATTGTTATCTTTGTATGCTGATTGACTCCGAAGTATACTCTATTGTTACTTACTCACTTTCGGAAAACTAAGTATGCTGATTGGCTCCGAAGTATATTCTGGTGTTTCTTACTGGTTACTTTCGGAAAAGTAACTCGATGGCAATAGTGCACGTGACTACTGGCTCATGCGCAGTGGTCACAAAAACTCATCAATCTAAGCAATTTCAGTTGTGAGTTTGGTTTTGTTTGTTCAAGAAACAAAAACCTTGGACTCTTAATGGATATGCTTAGACGCCTTAACTCGATCTTCTTTTGCGACAGCTAAGTTTAGTACAAAGTTCGATGGATAGTTATTATTACAAAGTGCGACACGGTTTATTACTTTGCATCAGGAAGTACAAAGTGCAAACAATATTACAAGAAAAATAAAGAACGTCTGTAGACATCTTTGGGAAAAAAGGAGGTTTATTAAGTCCCTCCCCAATGTCAACGCGTCCTCATTATCACCTCCGCGTTCGCAGTACCAATTAAATCGGACCAATGGAACTGGAGATATAAATAGCTCTTGTAATGACAATGACACTCAGAGGCACGTGTTTGTTGAAGCATGTCTTCTTAGACCCTCTTCTTAGACCCTCCTTAGACTGCTTCTACGCCAAAAATGCCGGCTAAAAGGCGTCCGAAGCCGAAACAAATCGGCACATCTGATTATTGCAGGATATGTGGGTGCTTCGATACGTCAGTAGTACTGGCCAATTATACCCTTTCCGTAAAGCTACAGAGAATCTTTTTCTTTTGTTTTTTAGAGTGCCCCGTCAAGGTGTTACAAAACGAAAGTTGGCGGACGATTTAAGAGATCTTAGTTTTGCCGTTTCGCAAACAGAAGATCAGTCATGTAGCGTTTGTTCGCCATGCAGTAATCAGGTTAGAAGCACCCGAACTGGACCTTCTTTTATTAAAGCCAGCTTTCAAGACAGCGAGAACGACGATGATAGCTTTCGGTTCTTTAAAAACAGAATGTCCGCATCACCTCATGGTTCCGCGGCAAGGTAACGCAATAACAGAAATGCCAGCTTCTCCTCATTGCTTCAACTTGATCATTGATAATAGTTCGTAATGCGGGTGATGCAACTACAATTCCTACAATTTCGTCTATTTTCTTCTTTCCCCACCACTACCCCCTTGCGCTGGCGGTCAATCAGTCCCCCGCAGTTTATATTTTATCACCCGCGCTCGACTTCCCTGGGTACCAGAGATTTTTTCTGGCGTGTGACGAGGAGCTTCGTAGGCCGCAGGCCGACACGTCTTCGGCCGAAGACACAAGGTTAAGACTTGACCGAAACCTCTGGCACCCAGGGAAGCGCTTAACGGACTTTTAAGAGAAAATAGAGGGCCTGTGAACAGGCTACAAAAACGATAAATAATATGATTTCATGCAGTATCAGACGAATTTTATGAAATGACTCGCAGTTTGAAACATCTTCCTCTGATGTCTTTGGGTCGATTCAACCAAACGCAAGAGACGTGTTATTTCCACTTGACATTACCAAAAATAATCAATGGGATTAACCCTTTAAGCGCCAATTTCCACATACAAATCCTCCAAACTGATCTCTATACATTTCCTTTAAGAATGAGTTAAGAGAATTTGATAAAAGATCAAAGTATTTTCTCTTGGGTGATCATTTTATTAATTCTCATAACCTAATCTCATGATAATGTGTGAATATCGTTAGGAGAAAATTGCTGTTGGAGACTATTGGGACTTAAAGGGTTAAGGGATTGCTCGAAATTTTGGGTCAGGATTACGGGATTGAAGAACGCTATCAGGAAAGGGATACTCTCAGCCTAGTCCCTAGGCGTTCTCTGCTCGGTCAATCCTGGACTCTACCGTGAGCTGTGACGTCACCGAGAGATACACGCCGTTCTCTCGCCCGCTCTTCCCCAGACTTCGCGCGGACAACGGGGCAAGAGAGAACGCCTAGGGACTAGGCTGGGATATTCTAAGACAAGAGGTCATGGTATTTTTCATATATCAAGGAAATCAAACAAACAGAAATACATTTATTTCTCTCGTATCACGATTAAACATTTTTCTCGACGCACTGGCAAACGAAAGTATCTCTTCATCCCGGGGGACTCTTCATCTCAAGCAGATATAAAATTGTCCATGATACTGACGTTAAATTATGGCAATTCCGGTGGCGGAAATTAGCGTTCAGCAAAAATGACGCGCCTAAATTAACATGAATTTCTTATTCGCGTTTATTTGATCTCCTATATAGTAATAATGGAGAAAGGAGCGGCTGCCATTTGACACCAAGTTTAAGGACGGTAAACATTGATTAGTGCAGGGCAGCAGATGGTAATTATAACATAACCCGCAAACATGAAAAAATCCATTATGATCTCAGCATTATAGTTTGTAAATATGCTCTTAACTAAAAAAAACTAAAAAATTACCTGAGATAAAAAATTAACTACAACATGTACAAAGACCCTCGCCAAGACTTGGGTCGAAGGAATAACTCGTATACGAGATATCCAAGGAAATGTTTTACCCAAATTTATAGAGCTTTGAATGGAGACGCCATGCTGGAGCTCATCCCCATGAGCTCCAACATGGCGGACGGAAACCAACAGAAACATCTGTTACCGAGTTTTGCTACAAAAACGTGAATTTTACTCCTAGAGGAACTCATAAACATTAAAGTAATACTTTTTCTAACACTTGAACTAATTAGACAGCAAAATTCTTCGAAAAAGTCACTTTTTTATCCTAAATGACAGCCGCTTTCGGCCGTCATGCAAATGGTGCGTCACGCAAAAGCTTAAAAATTCAAGCGTACTCTATTACAAAACCAAGAACCCTTTTGAAGCGAAAATTTGTTTGAAAATTAGTTTTCAGCTGCTCTATAATACACCATGAAAGTAAAATCTCAGTAGGATCGATAGTTTTGTAGTTTGAATTTTAGTGATCATGTGAAAACCAGCAATAACTACTGTTTCTTTAAATTGCAAATCAGTTAGCTCTCACTCACAAGTGAAAAGGCGTGAAAATGGAAAAGTACTTATCAGACAAATGAGATTTTGGAACAGATGGAAAAAAGATAGACAGCCTGCTTGTCAAAAATAATAATTATTTCTTTTACAAAGGACTTTCTCTAAGTTTTGAAGCAGGTGAAAAAACATAATCAACCCCCAACTGAGGAAAATTGTTACTAAGATTCAAATGGACATGTTTCAAAACCTACCCAAACCTACCAACTGCACAGTAGTGAAGGATAAAGCAAAGAATTGAAACTATCATTTCTATTTGAAGATGACTAGTTGTTACTAAGATTCAAACACTAGTGGATGCGTATCAAAACCTGTACAACAGTACAGTGAACGATAATACGTACCGAAGACTTCAAACAATCATTTCTATCCGCCAGAAGCATGGCTTGGTTTAGAATCAAGGGGTTCTGAATTCTAGAAAGGAAGGCTGGTAATCAAAGCGACCTACAGGTGCAATTTTCTAGTACAAGAATTATTATATACCTCTTCGTCTTCAACGAAACTGAGAAAGCTAAGCCTCTTTCAGTTTCAAAGACAAAGATATAGCTATCTATGAAACCGAAGAAATTTTCAGCCCTTGTATTGTAATTGTAACTTGCATTGTATTGTCATCAACTACCACTGAATCGTCAATCGAACCCTCACAAAATTAGATAACTGGTCGCGGAACCTATATTGTCATCAAAAGGAGAACGAACTTGGTAAAAGGAAAAGAAAAGGCCAAAGAGGAGATTGTGGTGGAGATTTTGGCCCCAGCCGTCCACTGATTTCAAGAGACGGCGTCTTGTTTGAGGCAGAACACGGCACTTTTTTCGTCATGAACAATACGGACAAATCTTGCTTCTTCTTTGAGTATAACGTTGCAATCTTTGATCAGCTTGAGGACGTTTTTATCACAAATATCATAACGTGTATCCTTAACTGTTTATTCTCCCTCATAACTTTCTTGGGAAACTTTCTTATTCTATTTGCTATTGGAAAAACCGAGATCTTCATTCGCCATCTTTCATTCTTTTGGGTTGTTTAGCGGCTTCAGATCTACTTGTCGGCTTAATTTGTCAGCCAATTTTCGTGGCCTCTAACATAGTCGAGCTTAGAAAAAATTACAATGCCCACTGCATATTAAGAATGCTCCTATATTTTATTGGTTGGATGACAGGGGGCGTCTCTCTTCTCACCTTAGCTGCAGTGTCAATTGACCGACTTCTCGCTCTGACCCTGCATTTGCGATACAACACGATTGTCACTGTTCCCCGCGTTTTCCTAATCATTCTTGGTTTTTGGATATTTGCTATAACACTAAATGTCGCAAGGTTTTGGATGTCTAAGAAATGGTATTTCATAGCCATAGCTTTTTTTGTTCTTCCATTTCTTGTCATAACCATAAGCACCTTGAAAATATTCCAAATTAGTCGAAAACACCAAAGTCAGATAAACGATCAACATGTAGCTGTCAGCCATCTTCAATCCAACACAGTTAACGTACTCAAGTGCAGAAAATCAGCCGTTACAGTGCTTTATATTTACGGTTTATTCGTCGTTGCCTACCTTCCTTGGTTCTCACTGACGACCGCGGCGTTTTTCATCGGACACCCAAGAGGATTAAAGATTGCTTCTAACTTTGCTCGTACAGCTGTTTTCATCAATTCCTTTTTGAATCCAGTTGTGTACTGCTGGAGAAATAGAGAGATACGACGAGCTGTGAAGAATATCTTGAGAAGGGGACGACACTAAGTAAGGTTCAACTTGATTTATTCAAGGCTAGCTAACAACTGCATAATCCGAGCGGTTCTTAACTTTGAGTCTTTTTTATTTTTTGCCGCATGCTTTTAAACCGAGAAGAAGACAACAAATTCATGTAATAACTGATTCACGTCCCCTTGTTTTTAAGGTGATGTTACACGGAACATTCGCAACTGACGACTATTAGCGCAACAAAGCGATACAATGTTGAAACAATACTGCAACCATTCGAAACAATATCGTAACAATGTTGCAACGCTGTATTGCTCTAAAAATCGTCTTTGCGGAATGTCCCTTGTAACTCACCTTTAAGCCAGTTTATAGTTATTTTAAATCTTAGCGCATTCTGGTACCCAAAGTGTTCACATTATACCGGGAAGCCTTTTCACCGGCACACAAGAACGATGATTTCGGCTAAAGTGGAAGGTCACATATCGGATAGGTGTTCATACTAAACTGGATATTTTTTTTGTGACGAGAAGAAAGTTATCTCTGTGTAGCCTGCGTAGCAATCGTTTCCAATCGTATTATTGCGCGAAAGTTAGTTTTTTTGCTCTTGTCCCAGCTTTCTAGACGAACCTCGCGAGGAAACGGTTGCTACGCAGGCTAATCTCTGTGCGGTATAAAGTCCTGTAAGCAAAATTAAAGTCGGCAGGTGGAGTTAAAGCAGTTGTAAATATTGAAAGACATCAGGTAAAGTGCTTAAATGCAAATAAATCATTGTAGCGTTGCCTGACAGCTTGCGTTGTTTCATTGGTCCATGCGCGCAAAATTAAAAGGAAAGAGTAGAGCGTTTTCTCTCACATGGCCGCCAACTGCTATGCAAATTTATTGCCCCAAAAGAAACAGTTTACATATGAAAAGAGTTCAGCTCCCGCAGGTCTAGTTCGAGACACCAACGTTTGGCTGCCGTGACACCAACATCGCTGCGGTTTAATCGTTCAGGGACACCAACATGGCGGACTTCACCTAATGTGAAAAGGCCCTATAATTGTAATTCATGTTGAAAGCGACCTCTGAAAATCACGTTTTCTTCCCGCACGAAAATTTCTCTGTCACAGAAGCAAAATTTAAGTACCGAAAAAATTTTTGTCGTTCCGCAGCCTTTTCGAAGTTAACCATAAAAGCTGTAACTGCAGACCATTTGGCGCCATCTGTCACTTAACTTTACGCGAAGCATTTTTAGACAGTGAATAAAAGAGGCCATTATAGTGCCAAAAAAAATTAAGAACAAAATCAGCTCTTATTCACTTTGTTCTTTTAAAAACATCATTGCCAGAGTTTCGGCCTCTTAATAAGACAGCCAGACATAATGTCTGGCTGTCTCATTAGAAGCCGAAATTTTTAATTTAAAACTATTCCCTGAAGTGCCTGAAATTTTTCTTCACAGTAGTCCATTAGTCAACAGAATTGTTGCTGGTCCGTGACAGTTTAAGGTCTTTCAAGGACTTCCTAACTGTACAAAGGGAAAAAGTCAGGGTTTTTTTTTGGCGGACTTTAATTCAACGGATGGAGTTTTTTAAAAAAAATGCAACAAATCGTGTCAAAGTGAACAAAAAAGACTGTCCATTTTAATATATAATGAGGCTTTTAACTCCAACTATATAATTGTTTGCATGTATTGACTAATTAATATGTAAATTTAGCTGGAATAAGTTAAATAAATGTGAAATTTCCTGAGTACGCAAGTATACAATATAAAGTTGACTGACCACTAGCTAATGAAGCTTGAAGCTTGACTTGTATTGGTAAGAAGACAAATTAGAAAAAAGGATTTTGCATTAACGTGCCACTCTCTCTAAACGAATTTTAGGCATCTTTTTCGCGCTCGCCGTTGTCGAGTTATCTCGCCATGAACCAAACAGATAATAAGGGATGTTACTTCTTTGAAGACGACATAACAAAATTCGATGTATCGGATGAAGTCTTCATCACAAATATCGTAACTTGTATCCTCAATTGCGTATTTTCTCTGTTAACATGTATGGCAAACTTTCTTATTGTATTCAGTGTGATCGGAAAAACCCACGAACTTCATTCGCCGTCTTTCGTCCTTTTGGGTTGCCTGGCGAGCTCGGATCTTGTCGTCGGCCTGATTTGTCAACCAATCCTCGTTACTCATAAAATAGCCGAACTTAATAAAAACTTTCCTGCTTACTGTACGTCGGCTATGCTAAATTTCATCTCAGGGTGGGTTACCGCTGTGGTTTCGTTACTTACTTTAGGGGCAGTGTCGATTGATCGAGTTCTTTGCCTTATTCTTCATTTACGCTACAACACCCTCGTAACTGTTTCTCGTGTATTCAAGACCGTCGCTATAATGTGGATCTTTTCCATTGCATTTGCTATGGTGAGGTTTTGGATGAGCAATGATTCTTGGTATTTCATCGCAATGACGGTCTTACTCATGCCATTTCTAGTCATAAGCGTGAGCACCTTGAAAATATTTCAGATTGTACGAAGTCACCAACGACAGATCAACGTCCAAACTGAGGCTATCAGGCATCTTCAATCCAACACAGTGAATGTACTCAAGTGTAGAAAATCAGCTGTGACAGTACTTTATATTTATGGCTTGCTCTTGATTTTCTTCCTGCCCTTCTTTGTAGTGGTGATTATTGAAGTATATCACGTTGGTTATACAAGGACAATAAGAATTGCGTATAGCTATGTTGGGACTGCTGTTTTCATTAACTCTTTCTTAAATCCACTTGTTTATTGCTGGAGAAATAGAGAGTTACGACAAGCTGCGAAGCGTGCCCTGATAAGAGACTAAGAGACGGGGAATTTGAGCCCCGGGATTTGAGCCAATCAGAAACTTGGTACACCAACATGGCCGCCGTCACATTGTTTTAAAACATCAATATGGCCGCCGTGACGACTTGTAAAAATGCTCAAAACAAATGAAATATGTGCAAAGACTGATGTTAAAGCATAAAAACAAACTGTATGTGTTGTGGTACAATTTTATCCATGGTTTAATTTTATTATACTTTGTTTTGGGGTATGATAATGTATGATGATGAGTTTGAAACAAAGGGAAATAAAATTTAAACCAAGGACAAAATTGAAATAAAAATAATATATCAGCAAGTCCACAGCAACAAACCATCGAGTGGTGCCGGATCTGCCAGTTGTAGACCTGGATCAGTACAATAATAATTGGTAGAAAATCATAAAACGTCAGACTGATCTTTACGGCAAGGCTATGAAGAAGTAAACAAAAGAATAAAACAAAAAATACACATTCAAACCGATTGAACCAACAAATAAAATTCAAACAATTAAACAAATATAAACAAAGAGAATACAAAGAAAAGTTTATTGTAATTGTCCTTCTTTTAAAAAAACTTTCCAACCAGACTATCTCCATAATGGTATCATTTTACTGCAGGTTGTGGCTTTGAAAGCACGTGACAAGGCGGCCATGTAGATGGTCGGTCGTCACTTGCTTCCATCCGCCAAACTGACATTTTCCTCTCAGTGGCTCTCACAAGACATTTCACTTTTCTTACATGAAATTTCTCTGTCTCTTGAAATTTCTCTTCATGAAAGTCTAAGTCTCTTCAATTTTTAAGGAAAAAAAATTCAGGATGGCACGAGTAGGATTCCATCTTGGAGCATCGGCTCTGCAGGGCATCACTTCAACCCCTACACCACCGAGGATTTGCTGACAATGAATGGTTTGATTTGAATATATATAGCAACAACCCTAACCCTAACACTAAACCTTACTTTGTGTACGAATCATTAATCTGTCAAGTGGAGTTTAGTTCCCAGAGGAGAGAGAGATGCAGATTATGTTCTTGGTTTTTGTTGACCACCAACGTGGCTGCCGTGACGTCACATGCAAATCAGCAATACCAGAATGCTTTAGGGTTTTATTTTTTATTGGACCCGTCTGATGTTTTTTAATCTTTATTGTGATAACTAAATTTAATTAGTTTGAAAAAAGGAAAAACTGACAGAAATTCTGGAAAATAACAATAACCTAGTGTTGACACAATTTGTATACAAATATTCTTCCCATTGCTTTCCGGATATTTTTTTTCTTGCTTGTTAATATTACATATTTAGTGAATAAATAACAATAAAATAACTACCGTCACTCAGAGGGGTTCTTAAATTAATACAAAGATGAAAAACCTTTTTGTTTTTGGATTCTAAAGCTGACACAATCGGGCTTTCGATACATGAGAAAAGTTGAGTTAAATACAGCCGACACATTTTTAAAACAATATTTATTTAAGGTCTGCTGGTGACAGTTAATGTTACTCTTAAAGTGACTTTTCCATCTTAAATCTCTTTACGTGTAGATGAGCTCATATAATCTAGACGAAAAAAGGTAAAGAAAAAAAATGATCTAAATTTTGAAAACAGTAGCCATATATTGTTGCGACAGGGGTATCGGTGATTTAAAAGAATTATAAATTATTTAAAAAAATTGAAAAGCTACTTGAATCTATTATTTCTGTCAGAAGTCTGACTTAATTTAAAAAACAACATTGGTATCAATTACGCTGTCTTTGAACTCGCGTGACAATTTTCTGCCTATTGGACAACAGTAAAAGGATAACTTGTTTGACCTTCTTAAAAACTATCATGTATTATTTTCATCGCCTCAGTCTAATAGCATTCCAAGCCTACTTGTTCAGTCCGCATGATTTACTGACCTCGAAAGGAAAAAATACATGTAAGCTTGTCGTTTTTCTTTTTCTTAGTAAGCTCTTCTGTCGATTTTCATCGACAGCTTCTGTTGCTATTGTTTGGGAGCCTTTTCAGTTGAATCATCTCCGGTAGCCTTCAAAAAGTGTCAATCGTCCAAAGAGATTTGAAACGTGTTCACTCTGGTACGAACTGGAGCATCTTGCCTCCCCGAAAGGACTCGCTATGAACACAACTGGAAAAACCTGTTTCTTCTTTGAAGGAAGGCACGTTAATTTCGACAAATCACAGGAAGTTTTCATCGCAAATATTGTAACTTGTATCCTTAATTTTCTACTTTCTCTAATGACATTTGGGGGAAATTTTCTCATCGTATTTGCTATTGGAAAAACCAAAGATCTTCATTCGCCATCTTTTGTCCTTTTGGGTTGCCTGGCAGTCTCAGATCTTCTTGTTGGTCTGATATGCCAACCATTATTTGTGGCACATAAAATAGCCGAATTCAAGGAGAGCTTTGATGCGTTTTGTACGTTGAAAATGCTTCAGTCGCTATCAAGTTGGATAACAGCTGGCGTTTCTTTTTTCAACCTAGCAGCAATCTCCATTGATCGACTCCTCGCTTTAACTCTTCACTTACGATACAACGCAATTGTCACCGTTCCACGCATACTGCAAACCAGTTTTGTTATCTGGATCTTGATGATTGCACTGAATGCTCTAAGGATTTGGATGCGCAATAAATGGTACAGCATTCCCATCGTCATGGGTTGCCTAACATTTCTTGTTACAACAACCAGTATCTTCAGAATATTTCAAATTGTTCGACGACATCAACGCCAGATAAACGACCAAGCAGTAGCTGTCAGTCATCCTCGAGCCAACACAGTGAACAAGCGTAGAAAGTCAGCTGTGACAGTACTTTATATTTACGGCTTGTTCATAATATTCTACCTTCCTTTCATGGTTCCATTAGTCATGGAGGTAATAATCGGATTTACAAGAACAGTAAGGATTACATATGACTACGCTGTAACTGCTATTTTCATCAATTCTTGCTTGAATCCGCTTGTGTACTGTTGGAGAATCAGTGAGATAAGGCGAGCTGTGAAAAACATCTTGAAGAAAGAGTAAAAAATACTATGAAATAAGCACCTCGTGAACAGATTCTTTCTGGTCAATTACCTTGTTCAAAATTTATCTCAGCCCTTTTTTCATGATAAGTTTGAGGTCAGTGGTCCTTACGAATCAATTTGTTGTTATCCCTGAGCGAACGCAGACGTAGACTCTTTTTTTTATATAAGAATTTTGTTTTCCCGGCCGAGGCTGAATATTCTTATTTTTGTGCCGATTTTAGGCTGAAAATATTCTTGTATTATTCTTAAATTATAGCTTATGACATTTCCGTTTTAGAATGTATTGGGGTATGAAGTATAGTTAGTGCAGGTTTTTGCGCCTTGTTGGCAAGTTTTGCCGTTCAGAGGATGGAATAAGTTGAAAACATAATTGTGTGGTTTTTACAGTTTTTGAACACACAAAATTACATCCTTTTCAAAACCTCAGCCTGGGGTTTATTCTTAAAATATTCCTAAAATTTCGCAAATTTCAGCCTCGATATTCTTATAAAATATATTCTTATAGAAAAAAAAGAGTGTATTTCGGTGCGTCGATCCCCTGGGGGAGAGACTCCTCATAGAAAATGGGTGGGGATGCTCGTCGTCTCGCCTAGGGGTATAAATTTCGGATTTTGGTCTCACTTGGGGTGTTCTGGGCAAAACGCCATCATATTTAGCCGTGAAGGTCTCGTTTAGGGTTGCACGCGAAAAAAAAACATAAAACTATATATTTGATATGTATATTTTTAATGCGTTTTATTTACTCCATTCATATATAATCCAAGTTTTCTCATTTGTCTGTCTTTTAACATGGTCTCTTTTAGGGGTCAAAAAAAGCTTGGGCCACGCCCAGATCGGTCTCCTTTAGGGGTTTAATTCAAAATTTCCGACGAGCATTCCCACCCCTTTCATATGCGGAGTTCCCCCCGAGTCGATCCTCTTCGCGGTAATCGGAAATACGTCTGCGTTGCCAGGTTAGAGTTTGAGGCTAGTCGTTTACTGTTGATCATATTCGGATTAATTTAAACCATTGTTTTCGACAATTCTAACAAAACAGTAACAGCAGTAGCAGCAATTTGATGTCTGAGCCCGCAGTTAGCTTCCTTACAACTAACCGAGGTGGGACAATAAATAATAATAAAAATAATATTTATTGCTTGTTTGGCGCAAATCAAAATATTAATATGTTTGATTAAATGCGCCTTACATTTATATCTTACCTACATACATACTATAAAATGTACAAGCAGAATTATATAACATAGTCCTAAATTAAGTAAAAGTCTAAAAAAAACTGATAAGAGACATAAAAATGACATTTTAAAATGAAAATTCTTATAAAATATAAATTAAAATTAAGAACTAAATCTAACACTAAAAAACACGAGTAATCATGCTAAAAGAGGCTCTAGGTGTCACAAGCAAATGCTTTCTTGAACAAGTACGTCTTAATTGCTTCTTTGAAAAGATCAGAACCTCTAATTGCTCTTACTGGTGAAATAAAAGAAAGAACATTAACACACATAAAAAAAATTTCAAATAAAAATAGGAAATGATCTCTAAAAGCATTGCACAACAGGTATGTTTTACGAAGACCCTGGCTACTTCTCGGCAACGTCGTTCCAGGGGCTCTCTAAGCTCTCTTTTGCTTCCCTTACAACAAGTTTGGCCTCTTGGCCGACTTGATTTTCACTGAGGTAGCTTGCCATCCTAACTACCGGTAGTTTAAGCAGTTTTCCTCAAATGAAGATCATGATTACCGAATCAACCCACAAAACAAGCCCACAGTAGTCAGTACAAGATGACGTTAATTGTCGTACGAGAAAAACGATATTTTCTTACATGGCAGTTTAAATTTATGTTTCCTGCATTGCTCTGCTACGTGAGGTTCTCAGCTGCCTTTAAGAAACGACCTAACCATTTAGTAATATTACCTACTTTAATATCAGGGGAAAAGATCAGATTACGATTTTAGCTTGAAGTTAAGTTAGCAGGTGATACCACGCGTAACTCAGGACAGCCAATCGTTGTGGTTTCTATGAACAAAAAGCAAATGTTTGGTTAAAATATATTATACCAAAGTAAATAACACTTTTACTCTGTCAGGATCCGATTTGGTTACAAATTAAATAATGTATACATTTGCTGCAAAATTGTTTTCATAGGTTAAATCGAATTTTCCTGTTTTGTTGAACAGTGCAAGGCTTCGAGCTGATTTTTCCACCCTCTTTGTAAGTTTACTTAACAATACACTTCACTCATCATGAACAAAACAGAAAAAACCTGTTTCTTTTTTGAAGACATCTACCTTAACTTCGATGAGGCGGAGGGAGTCTTCGTCACAAACATTGTAACGTGCGTTCTCAATAGCATTTTTTCTCCAGTAACATGCTTGGGGAACTTTCTCATTGTGTTTGCGATTGCCAAAACCCAAGATCTTCATTCGCCGTCTTTCATTCTCCTGGGCTGCCTCGCAACTTCAGATCTTCTTGTAGGTCTGCTATGTCAACCAATTTTCGTGGCATGTAAAATTACAGAGGTTACAAAGAATTTTAAGATGTACTGTACATTGAAAATGCTCCTGAATACCTTGGCTTGGATAGCGATTGGGTCCTCTTGCCTTACGCTGGCCGCAGTATTCGTCGATCGAGTTCTCTGCCTTACTCTTCATTTAAAATACAACGCGACTGTAACTGTTTCTCGCATTTTTAAAATGACGTCCGTTCTGTGGATCTTTTTTATAATATTTGTTTTGGTGAAGTTTTGGGTGAGCAGTGCCTGGAATTTCATTGCCATAGCCGTTTCCGTCCTTATATTTCTTGTAATAGCCATCAGCACCTTGAAAATATTTCAAATTGCCCGAAGGCACGAACGACAAATTACTGTTCAAGCTTTAGCTCTCAGCCATCTTCAAACCAACACATTGAATGCATTTAAGTGCAAAAAATCAACTGCGACAATACTTTATATTTTCGGGTTGTTGCTACTATTCTGTCTTCCTTACTTTATAGTGTCGATCATAGACATTTTCTTTGAATACACCACAAAAGTAAATATTTCTTATAGTTATGCTCTGACAGCTGTTTTTATGAACTCGTTAATAAATCCGTTTGTGTACTGCTGGAGACTTAAGGAGATACGTCAAGCAGTGAAGAATATCCTGAGAAAAGAAAGACACTGAAGATCAGACAAACACTAGACATGAAAAAGGAGGCAACGTAGCCTAGCGGTTAGAGCCGCTGAACTTGCAATTCGGAGGCCGCCCTGACCGTGAACCTGACCGCTAGCTGGACTTTTTTTCTCGGTCGTCCCGAGTTAAAATCCTCGCCACCACGCTTGTAAAATAGCCAACTGCTTTCTGTATCGCCGAGGTTAAATGACTGTAGTTTATTTATATATTTATTTATTTATTTGTTTATTTATTTATTATTTTTAATTTCTTAATTTTCGAAATGTACGGAATTGCATCTCTGGCAATATATCCAATTGGCGTCAATCATCTTGCTTTTAAAGTTTGTCAAAAAATAGGCTCTTTTTAGCCTTTCAACCCATGCCTTAACTTGCCTGAGAACCTCGGAAATGCTTAGGTCTTACCCATGGTAGTCTATATTTCGCTGGAAGTCACCGAGGGAGTAATAAGAGTTGCCGAGATTGTAAAGGAAATCTTTTTCATTTGTTTTTAGCCTCACTTTCAAAAAGAGGCTTGGGGCATGGACCTCTTTACGACTATTACGTTACGTTTTCCCAATGAAGGTCTCAGGGAAATTTGCCTCTTTGATTTGAAAGAAACAGTTCTCAAGATTATTATCACATGGCCTACATTGGGAAAAAGATATCTCGAAAAAGTTCTTTATCGCAAGTATTTCAACTTGTGACCTCAATGTTTTTGTTTGTCAACTTTGACCAAACGGAAGAATGTATTATAACAAGTAATCATTATCGTTATCGATATTATTGTTATTGTTAGTGTTTGGAAAACTTGTTAATGTAGACAAACTTCAAACTAATTTTACGCGCTGTTTGAGATCGCGTAGTACCGATACGTAACCAATACCATCTCACGGCCATAACTAAACATCTGTTATTAATCTGCCTGTCTGCGATATAAAGACATTTTCGAAAATAATGATGAAATTTCCCGGTCTTCAACAGGCAAATCTACAGTATTATTTTTATACATTTTATTGATTAATTATTTCTTATAGCTAGTCAGTTTTTAGCTTTTTATCACTGTAATGCGCAATTGAAAATGTTTACATTGATAATTGCGCAATAGAAATTGATAAATAATTATTAATTATTATTATCATTATAATGAACAGCAGCTGTATCAAATGTTACGTTACCTCCTGTATTGTACCGATAAGGTTCACTATTCGACAAGCTTTATCACTGTTTTATGTCTATTCTGTTCTAAAGTTATTACTCAGTGCCTTACACCATAGTTATTAGAGGAGCATGGTTATGAAAAGCGGCAAACATCAATGATAAAAACAATAGCGCTGCAGTTTATGTTGGAAGCTCCCTGAAAGTGCACAATCCTTTGTTTTCTGTTGGCAAATTGTTACGGAATAAATTATTGCAACGTTTTTATTGGTCAATACAATCAAAACGATAGGAATGCGTTTGAACGTTGTGCACTTTTAGTTTCACAAACACATTTAACAAAGGAATCTGAATGGTTTCATAACCATTCCACTCAATTAACTATGCTTAAACCAAAAACAAAATGCTCATGTAGGAAGCCCTAATACTGATAAAATTTTTGGTGATTTATTGCTAGCATAGCATAAAAACTTGAAAAGTTGGCCCATGTTTTTCAAGTTTTAATCTATGTCCATCTTTGCCATCCGTTTCAACAGACGACAGCAAACTGTTTCAATGCATAAATATACTCTTAAATAACAAAACTGGGCCATTATTTTGGGAATTCAATTGATGCAAAGAAAGCTTTAGCTTTTCGATAAGATTAACCGTGTAGAGAGGACCATGGATATACCATGTTTCAACCACGGTTTTTCCATGGTTGAACAGTTTTCCAGCCATGGTCTACTATGCTTTGGCGGTGATCTAACCATGGTTTGACCATGGTCAACCATGAACGTTATATGAAGAACCAGAAATCAATTAAAAATTTTCCTCTGTTCTTATCTACTTGAAAGAACAAACAATGCATTTCTCTCTGTTTTCCCCACAATAGTTTTTCGTATACTCGACAGTTAAAACTCGTAACTCAGTCCCAGAGAATATATCATTTGTTGCAGATAAAACAAGGAACACCTCAATGCCAGCTTTTCGCTAACCCTGTTGGAGCAGTGTCGGATCAAGGGGATGGGCCCCAAGGACCCGCCCCCTTATTTTTAGACCAAACTGAGGCCGAAAGTATGGATCCGCCTCTGTGGAGTAAACCGCGTTACATAGCTACTTTTTTTTAAAGCCGGGTAAAAGACACGCTAGGGCAGTCCAACTCTCGTATAAGGTCTCCGCGCACGAAATTTTCCGTTAATTTATAAAACCTGACATATTTTCGTTCTTCACCAAATTTGGTCAATAGATATTGAGCACTGTGCCAATCAAATGGAAAAGAACGATGATGTTATCTGTTAAACGATTACGTCATAAGCTTACAATCAGATTTCGAATGACATCTTCCTAATATATATTTTTCCACAAACTCACCTCTTTAAAGTAACAAAACCGTTTTTCCCCTTGTTTTTTTTTTACATAGTAAACTGTAGAAAGGAAACATTGCCGAGGTTTAAGGTATATGTTCACAGTTTTACTTCCCTCGCATAACATCAAGGGAGAAAATAGGCAGGCACTGGTTATAAGGGGAAGTATTGGGCACTAGTTACAAATTCATGCATTTCAAAACAGCATAATGTAAAGGAAGCATTAGCTCGTTATAATTGTGAACAGTTGTTTTATTGGAAAAAAGTGTAAATTTTGCCAATTTCTGGTCCCAACTCATCTAGTAATAATGGGAGAACGAGCCAAGCATAATCTTGTTTTTATGCTGGCTTGCAGCATAAAAAGAGCTGTCTCACGAAATTTATGAAACTCAAACTGCGAAAACAGCCACCAAATTGAGCGAAACATAAAAGTAACCGCTCAAAACGTTACGAAAAGATAAAAAAAGATATAAATATCACAACAAATACACTAAAAAAGAGAAGATGTTGAAGAAGATTATAAGGGATGGCAATTGTGGTTTTTGCAAACCGGTTAGCCTAACAATTTTTTTAAAGTTCAGAATTATTTGTTGAGAGACATATTTGTTTGACACGAAGCTGTAATTTGGTCATTCATAAGTAATTTCTCCAGTTCCAAGGCGAACAAGGACACGTAATTGGCATTATTAACATCAAGATGAGCTGGGTAGCCGTGACACAACTCCTTTCGCTCTCTGCAAATCGTCATTCAAAAAAGAAGAAGAAGAAAAAAAACTCAAAAAGTCGGTCTTCCTAAGTCTACTGTGAAACTGCCACCGATCTTTCTTTCTTAACGTCTAATGGTACAATAATTATACTCAGAACAGCAGCTGTTGAACTTATAACTTCCTGTTATGATTTTCTACCTTGATAAAGATGACTGAGAACAGATTAAACTTGGAATCACATCACGAATGTCAACGTTTGGATGGATGTTTTCCACTCAATATTAATTTGGCCTTCAAAAACCTGAAATAATATGGTGTCCATCTTATTGGAATGCTTAACACTGTAAAACTGCATTGTCATTGAACTGTAATATTGAAACATTGGTTATGGTAAAGGTATTCGCGTGTAGTCTCATCTTCTGAATTAAAAACAAATGCCCTTTTCACAGGCATAAATTAAAATCTGATGATCGCTGGAAAGTTTCCGAAGCTACACTAAGTGCTCGCCCAGCATTTATATGCCTTAAGTGTAGTGCCAAACATTTACATCGTTGCAGTAATAATATTGTTCCTAGAAGTATTCGTCATTTTAAGTATGTTAACGTGTGATCAACATTGTTGCGGTTCATGGCAACCAATCGTAATTGTCAGTGTGAGCGTAAAGAAGTAGTCCATTATTTGTTATGACGTAAGTATAAAACTGGCAATTAGTTTTGTCACGAACGTGCCTTAAAAAAGTGCGATGTTGTATATTAGGGAAATTTTGAAGTGTACTTGATTAGTACTAACCTGAGCTTGAGTTGGTATATGAGCATCAGATGACAAGAAAAACATTGAAAAAAATTATCAGTGCAATCCGAACGCTGACTCCATGAAAAGCGACTAGATAAAGAAAGACTGGTTTCAGTTCATGTGGCTCTGAGAACGGCTTTCTGACGGCACACTTTGTTCGCCATGTCGAACAATACAGAAAAAGACTGTTTCTTCTTTGAAGATCAGCTTCACTTTGATAGCACGGAAGAAGTCTTCATTACAAATATTGTAACTTGTATCCTCAACACTTTTTTTTCTTTGCTAACATGCATAGGAAACTTCATTGTTGTATTTGTGATTGGAAAAACCCGAGATCTTCATTCGCCATCGTTCATCCTTTTGGGTTGTCTTGCGGTCTCAGACCTTCTGGTTGGCCTTATATGTCAACCGTTATTTGTGGCACATAAAATAGCTGAACTTAAGGAGAATTTCGCAGTGTTCTGTAAATTGAAAGTGCTTCAGTCTCTATCAGCTTGGATAACAGGTGGCGTTTCTTTGTTTATCTTAGCTGCAGTGTTAATTGACCGACTTCTGGCACTAACTCTTCATCTGCGATACAACACGATTGTCACCGTTCCTCGCGTATTTCAAACAACTATTGCTTTGTGGATCTTTGCTACAGTGATCGTTTTACCGAGGTTTTGGATGGCAAGCAAATGGCATTTTATCCCGATAGCATTAGGCGTTCTTATATTCTTTGTCATCGTGATAAGTGTCTGGAAAATATTCCGAATTGTTCGAAAGCACCAACAGCAGATAAAGGGCCAAACTAAAGCTGTCAGCCATCTTCCAGCCAACACAGTAAAGATACTCAAGTGCAGAAATTCAGCTGTGACAGTGCTTTATATCTACGGTTTGCTCTTAATTTTTTATCTTCCTTTAATGGTACTGTTGGTGATGGAAAAATTTGTCGGATATACGAGAACAGTAAGGATTGTCTATGAGTATGCTGCAACTGCTGTTTTCATCAACTCTTGTTTGAACCCAGTTGTGTACTGCTGGAGAATCGGTGAGATACGACGCGCTGTGAAAAATTTTATAAGGAGATCATCCAGTGAATAACATGTCTGCTTAATCTACAAAGCTGATAGATATGAAAGTCAAACTATACGTGCTTTATTTGTTAGGAAGTTCTTTCAAAGTTGGGTTAATTAAAAGGCTAGCTGAGCGGGCACAATACACGATTTTAATGTCTTTTGCGTTTTAACAGAGAAGGATTGTAAAAAGTCTGACTGGGATTGAGAACTACAAGAATAACAATCAAAATCGTCCGTTGTGTAAATTAGGTCATTGGGCTTTTCGGGGGCTGTCTGGTAAACCAAATTTCGGAGCCTACGCTTATTAAAAGACGTTTTTCTCTAACCCAAAGGCCTTATTCCCCTAAGGCAAACGTTCCGAATTAAATAGCGCGAAAAGCAACCTCTACCTCTTGCTGCTCGTCTCTTAAAGAACTCGAAAAGTTCTTGTAGGTCTCTGACCAGAGACATTATCACCAATGTTGCCCTTGTTTTCTTACATTATATTGTTGAATTTGTATTTTTCAGCTTTTTTCAGTATAATTACAGATAACTGAGGACAGATTAAACTTGAAATCACATTCCAAATATCTCGGTTAAGATGGATATTTTAAACTCCATATTTGGTCTTTAAATCCTGAAATAAAATATTGTCTATCTCTTATTGTAAAATTTGCATAAAGGAAAGATTTCCTCATGCTAAAGGCATGCCCCCCCGGCTCCCCGGCTACAACTTCAAGCTAAGAGGGAAAAATTCTGAACCGCATCACATGCGATATCGAGGGTTATAATACTATTTTTATAATGAAGATCAACAAGAGGTCTGCCAGACAACGTTTCTCAGCTAATGTGAAACACAGTGCCCGGTTGAAGGCCATGAAGAGCATGAAGTTTTCCTTTCGTTCTATCATCAAGACTAAGAGAGAGTTGAAGCTATGTCAAATAAGCGATTGATCGCAAATCAATTTGAGGAAATTACCTGCAACTGGCTCACTGACAGCAATAGGAGGGAGAACAGCTCCTTACACTTGGTATTCAATGCTAATTCATCACTGCATACCCAGGTTATCACGATGCCTTTCAGTATTACAAGCCACTCAGTATAAGGTTTAGCCGTGCAGCTGACACCATGGTAGAACTGAAGTGGCCGCGAATTCTTTCCACTGAAACGTAGGAAAGTTTGGTCGTTAGTGCCAATTACATTACCGGAACGTGAGCCATCGTTCAGTACATTGCGTCGACTAAAAACTCACTCAAGAGTAGCCATGTCCAGCAAACGATTGACCGCACTTGCTTTATTCCTGGTTTATTCTTTCCCATCCCCTTGTTTCACCCCCTTGAGCTCGTCTCGTGCTTCGTTGAAAAGTCTCGTTCGGCTCACTTAGCAACCTCATTCAAAGAAAGAAGCGCTGCATGGAAATGAGGTTGGCTTGGCTCATAAAGCGATTGTTATGCAGGCTGCTGTAATAAACATCCGTTACAGTAGCTATAGGCTCTTCAACAATAGACATTTTTTGCACGGAATTGGCATCCACAGACCCTCCTTCTTGCTGAGATGCTAACTGCGTGAACAGTTCATTACAAGACCACAGTGTTTCATAAAGTATGTCATGTCTTTAACAACAGCTATTGACTGATGCACTAACTTTATTAATACCGTCTCCACTGGAAGCATGATTTGCAACCCCTCTAACAAATCCTAGCTACATTAATTTGGCACTGACGTCATCAGAAATTTGTGGCCACAATCAAAAATTAAATCGCTATCCGAGGACAGACACCCTCACCCAATCCTTCTCACAACTATACAACCTCAGGAACCCCTGCATGCAAAATTTCTGGCCACGCCCCTCCAGGCTTCACTGTAAAAACTATTAAGTCTATGTGGCGAAGTTAGGCTCGCCAGGTGCGAGCTAACTCTTTCAAAATTAATTCAAAGACTCTATACTTAACTGCGTGCATTGTTCGCGTTTTTTTCCTCTGAGGTATTCTGGAAAGGCAAATTTCGAAAAGCCGATCTATTTTAGTCACCCGACGCTTTGATTGTCCTGCTTGAAGTTCGCAAATAAAACTTGTTCATTTTTTTTTTACTGGTTTAAAAATGGTGGCAGTCGGAGCATTACGGTTTTTTCATTGGACAAAAGGGTAAATTTTGCAGCTCATCTAGTAATTACGGGAGACATGTTTAAGAACGAGCCAAGCATGCACACTATATTTTTTATATCTGGTTGATGAAAAGATACAGAATTAGTACATAGAAGCTGTACCACCTTAGCGAGGCAATGCTGGATTCTATTATAAGCAACAGACCTGAAGTGGACCGCATGCGGATAATCACAATTTAAAGGAGCACATATTCTACTGAGAATTGTCGATGGTTCTTTCCGCGGAAAAAGCAATAAATTTTCCAAATTTCTGGTCCCACCTCATATAGCAATAATGGGACACATGTTTTAAGAACGAGACAAACATGTACACTTTCTATCTTTTTTCATATATTTGGTTGATGAAAAGATACCGAATTAGTTTGAATGGGGCATGTTTTATGAGGGAGACAAACAAGTAATATTTGGATCAGCAATGCTTACGCTCATGCGGGGAAGTATACGGTAAGTCAAGCGCTCGAAAGTAATAATGAGAAAATGTTTACTTCACCTGTTATCAGTTGTATTTGATAAATGTTGCCTCACGGTTAAGTAAAGCCGTTTTCTGATATATTTGATTCAGTTGTATTTGATAAGGTTCATAAAAGTTCCCTCACAGTTATTGGGGCCTCTTATTAGGTATGTATAGGACCTTTCTTCTTAATTAATGTTGCCTCGCACTTATAGAGACGTCTTTAGTTATATAATTTGAAGGGGCCTCTTTTGGCATCTAATTTGAATATTTGCCACATTCTGGATATCACCAGCCGTCTGGCGATTTTCGCCAAAATCGCCATTCTCCAAGGGGCCACGTTTGGAATCCAACTCAAATTGTCAGAGACTGGCGATTTTTCGCCATTTCTGCCATTTTCGCCATTGCATGCAATTCTGGACGTAAGTGAAAATGGAGGGGCATTTTGATGGTTCGTTTTTGTTATTGTGTTCTTATATATATTGAAACAAGTATTCTCAAAGAATTTTAAGCCATATATTTGGTGACAAACATTCAATTATTACTGTAAAATTTATAATGCAGTCAATTATTTCCATAAATGCACTCATTATGGTTTCCGGGCTCTATCATTTTATCTAAACCGTTATAATACGCAGCGAGAAAGGTTCAGGACAGGATAGTCATAATAAATAATTAATTCTTTTGACGAAAGCAAAAGTAAACAGTGTCTAATGCATTTACTGAAAAGTGCTCAGCGACCATTTGGGGTTTTTGAAGACAAAAAAATCCCAAAAAATGTTTTAACTCGGTTTTATACAATTGTATTTCAAAGAAATTGCAATTAAACAATAATTTCCTTACCGTCGAGACGGGTTAAGCTGAGCGGTAAAATAGAACATAAGTCCGTGTGAGAATAAACTTTCGCAAGTGACGTGGCCGGGTTTCAGTTTATTGCTAATTTTAAATTTTTAAATTTAAAATGGCGGAAAGAAAAGCATAAGTTATGGATGAAAAGCAAGCGAAAAAATGCACTACATGGGCAAAAAGCGTTAAAAACTAAGAAATGGTATATACCTTTTAGGTAAGTAATTTCGCGATTTTGGCTAGGTAGTATTTTGCAGGGTTTTATTTTCGGGATTGTAAGGCAAATATGAAAAATAGTCCTTAAATTTCGCCATTCAATGGTTCTAAACTTCATTTAACTTTTAAAACAATTTTGAACTTTTTAAAATCTCTAAATAATCTGGATCAAGGAAAACACATATTCAAAAAAATAACTTTTAAGGTAAACTGGAACAAACAAAAGACATCTTTGAAAATTAACTTTTAAGTGTATTATTATTATTATTATTTCACAATAGAACATACAAAATGGAACTTACCAGTAAAACCAGTTAAAAGATGTGTTTTTGTCGATGCATATTCTGTATATTTTGCTGTTATTACTTGCTAATTTTTTTTTTCTGTAATTTGAATTTTCTATATGGGTATTAAATTTCGCGAGGATTTCAGAATTCGTGGGTCTTTAATTTGGCGATTTTTTCTAAAATCGCAAGAACACTCGCGAAATTAATTAACTACCAAGAAGGCATATATGTTAAGAAACAGCTGAGGAGAAATGCATAAAAATATTTACTTTATTTTTAACCTTAGATAAACAAATAAAGCTTAGCCTAACCAACAACTGTGAGAGCTCCCGGTCCTTCGAGTGGGACTTAACGACGTTTCATAGAAAGTGTAAGAATGTTATACAAAACGTTTAAAGGAGTCCGCCCGTGTTAAACCTGTATTGACCATACAAGATTTCTTCTCATGATATTCTTCACAGCACGCCGTATCTCGCTGATTCTACAACAGTACAAAACCGGGTTTAAAAAGGAGTTAATGAAAACAGCTGTTGCAGCATAGTCATAGACAATCTTTACTGTTCTCGTATATCCGATAAATGTTTTCATCAACAGGAATACCATGAAAGGAACATAAAAAATTAAGAACAAACCGTAGATATAAAGCACTGTCACAGCTGATCTTCTGCACTTGAATATGTTCACTGTGTTGGCTGGAGGATGGCTGACAGCTATAGTTTGGTCGTTTATCTGCTGTTGGTGTTTTCGAACAATTCGGAATATTTTCCAAATACTTATTATGATGACAAAGAATATAAGAAAGATTAATGCTATCGGGATAAAATACCATTTGCTAGCCATCCAAAACCTCGGTAAAATGATCACTGTAGCAAAGATCCACAAAGCAACAGTTGTTTGAAATACGCGAGGAACGGTGACAATGGTGTTGTATCGTAGATGAAGAGTTAGTGATAAAAGTCGGTCAATTGACACTGTAGCTAAGATGAGAAAAGAAGCGCCAGCTGTTATCCAAGCTGATAGAGACTGAAGCAATTTCAATGTGCAGAACACTGCGAAATTCTCCTTAAGTTCAGCTATTTTAAGTGCCACAAATAACGGTTGACACATAAGCCCGACAAGAAGATCAGAAACCGCAAGACAACCCAAAAGGATGAACGATGGCGAATGAAGATCTCGGGTTCTTCCAATCGCAAATACAACAATGAAGTTTCCTATGCATGTTAGCAAAGAAAAAAAAGAGTTGAGGATACATGTCACAATATTTGTAATGAAGACTTCTTCCGTGCTGTCAAAGTGAAGCTGATCTTCAAAGAAGAAACAGTCCTCTTCTGTATTGTTCATGGCGAACAAAGCGTGCTGCCAGAAAGCCGTTCTCAGCTAGAGCCAGATGAATTGAAACCAGTCTTTCTTTATCTAGTCCCTTTTCATGGAGTCAGCGTTCGGATTCGATTTTTTTTTTTCATTGTTTTTCTTGGCCTCTGATGCTCATATACCAACTAAAACTCTTTTTACGAGTGAGAAAATCATACGGAGATCGATTCAATTGATCAAACACACTTCTGCAACATTTCCCTAATATACAACATAGCACTTGTTTAAAGAACAGTGGTTTCAAAACTAATTGCCACTTTTATACTTACGTCATAACATAAATAATGGACCACTTGTTTTCGCTCACAGTGACAATTACGATTGGTTGTCCTAAATCGCAACAATGTTGGTCACACGTTAACATACTTAAAATGACGAATACTTCTAACATAAATATTTGCTGCAACGATGTAAATGTTTGGCACTACACTTAAGGCATATAAATGGCAGGCGAGTACTTAGTGTAGCTTCGAAACTTTTCAGTGATCATCAGATTTTAATTTATGCCTGTGAGAAGGGCATTTATATTTGTATTCAGAAGATGAGACTACACAAATACCCGTTACCAAGACGAATGTTTCAATATGACAGTTCAATAACAATGCAGTTTTACAATGTTAAGCATTCCAATACGATGGACACCATATTATTTCAGGTTTTTGAAGATCAAATTAATATTGAGTGGAAAACATCAATCCAAACGTTGACATTCGGAATGCGATTCCAAGTTTAATCTGTTCTCAGTCATCTTTATCAAGGTAAAAAATTATGACAGGAAGTTATAAGTTCAACAGCTGCTGTTCTGAATATATTGTACCATTAGACGTTAAGAAAGAAAGATCGGTGGCAGTTTCACAGTAAACTTAGGAAGACCGACTTTTTAATTTTTTTTCTTTTTCTTCTTTTTTGAATGACGATTTTCAGAGAGAGAAATTGAGCCATGAGTCCTAAAGGAGTTGTGTCACGGTTACCCAGCTCATCTTGATGTTAATAATGCCAATTACGCGTCCTTGTTCGCCTTGGAACTGGAGAAATTACCTATGACAAAATTACAGCGTCGTGTCAAACAAACATGTCTCTCAACAAATAATTCTTAACTTTAAAAAACTGTTACGCTAACCGGTTTGCAAAAACCACATGAATTGGCATCCGCTTCAATCTTCTTCAACATCTTTTCTTTTTTAGTGTATTTGTTGTGATATTTATATCTTTTTCTAACGTTTTGAGAGGTTATTTTTATGTTTCGCTCAATTTGGTGGCAGTTTTCGCAGTCTGAGTTTCATAAATTTCGTGAGACAGCTCTTTTTATGCTGCAGGCCAGTGGCAGGTTCCCGACCCTGAAACAACATTCCTCAAGGAATTCAGTTTAAGCCATATATTTGGTGACAAACATTCTAATTATTAACGTAAAATTTATAATGTATTCAATTATTTCCATGTGCCAGTATTTACCGATGCATATTCTGTATATTTTGCTGTTATTACTTGTTAATTTTTTTTTCCTATAATTTGAATTTTCTATATGGGATTTCAGTATTCGTGGGTCTTTAATTTGGCGATTTTTTCTAAAATTGCAAAAAGACTCGCGAAATTAATTAACTACCAAGAGGGAATATATGTTAAGAAACAGCTGAGGAGAAATGCATAAAAATATTTACGTTATTCTTAACCTTAGATAAACAAATAAAGCTTATCCTAAACAACAGCCGTGAGAGCTCCCGGTCCTTCGAGTTGGACTTAACGTTTCATAGAAAGTGTAAGAATGTTATACAAAACGTTTAAAGGAGTCCGTCCGCGTTAAACCGGAATTCACCATACAAGATTTCTTCTCATGATATTCTTCACAGCACGCCGTATCTCGCTGATTCTCCAACAGTACAAAACAGGGTTTAAAAAGGAGTTAATGAAAATAGCTGTTGCAGCATAGTCATAGGCAATCCTTACTGTTCTCGAGAACCCGATAATTGTTTTCACCAACAACAGAACCATGTATGGAAGATAGAAAATGAAGAATTGAGTCGGGATTCGACTTGCAGTATTTTTTAGCTGTTTCTCTTGAACTTTGTTGGTCTTTAGAAATCGTTACTACGAAATACAGATCTTTTTTTAACTATTTGAAGCAAATTGCCAGTTTGACCGAACTAACTGCCAATTTTACTTGCTTTATTATATATTAAGAAATTGACTTAGTTGTTTCGTTCACAGCTACAATTACAATTGGTTTTCCGGACTCGACACAATGTTGGCCACCCGTTAACATGCTTAAAAATGACGAATACTTCAGTGAGCAATATTTGCTGCAACGGTGTATTTGTTTAATGCTTGGTCTTACACTAAAGGGATATAATTCCTACGTGAGGATTTAGCTTATTCTAAGCGTTTCCATCAAAAGTGATTTGTTACTGTCGCTGAAAGGGTGGTATTTTCTGGTAGTTTTATTTTATTATTACAATTATAATTATAACTATTATTATTAGATTACCAGCATGCCTTTACCATGAGGAAATGTTTCCTTTATGCAAATTTTACAGTAAGAGATAGACAATATATTATTTCAGGATTCAAAGACCAAATATGGAGTTTAAAATATTCATCTTAACCGAGATATTTGGAATGTGATTTCAAGTTTAATCTGTTCTCAGTTATCCGTAGAAAGTGGAAAAAATTACACTGAAACATACAAATTCAACAATATATGTAAGAAATCAAGGACAGCATTGGTGATAACGTCACTATAGACCTACAAGAACTTTTCGAGTTCTTTAAGAGACGAGCAGCACTGAGGTAGAGGTTGCTTTTCGCGCTATTTAATTCGGAACGTGTGTCTTGGGGGAATAGGGGCTTTGAATTAGGGAAAAACATCTTTTAATAAGCGTAAGCTCCGAAATTTAGTTTACCAGGTGTGCGTCATCTGATTCGTAATTTAGAGAGACTCTTTATCAAACTGCGTGCTCGCGATTGCTTCTTTGACGTACTTTTGAAAGGCAGCTCTCGAAAAGCCGAATGATCTAATTTAGACAACGGACGATTTTGATTGTCATTCTTGTCAGTTCTCAATCCCAGTCAGACATTTAACAATCCTTCTCTGTTAAAACGCAAAAGACATTAAAATTCTGTATTGTGACCGCTCAGCTAGCCTTTAAATTAATTCAACTTTGAAAGGACTTCCTAAAGGCTTGTTTGTAGTGGAAAGTGCACTTAGCTTATCCAGCTAGTTTTCTGACACTCCACTCGAGCAAATAAAGCGCGTATGGTTTGACGTTCATATCTATTTAAAGCACAGGACAGCTTTGTAAATAGGCAGACATGTCATTCACTGGATGATCTTCTTATAAAATTTTTCACTGCGCGTCGTATCTCGCTGATTCTCCAGCAGTACACAACTGGATTCAAACAAGAGTTGATGAAAACAGCAGTTGTAGCATACTCATAGACAATCCTTACTGTTCTCGTATATCCGACAAACTTTTTTATCAACAGCGATACCATGAAAGGAAGATAAAAAATTAAGAACAAACCGTAGATATAAAGCACTGTCACAGCTGATTTTCTGCACTTGAGTAAGTTTACTGTGTTGGCTGGAAGATGGCTGACAGCTATAGTTTGGTTCTTTATCTGCTGTTGGTGCTTTCGGACAATTCGGAATATTTTCCAGACACTTATCACGATGACAAAAAATGTAAGAAAGGTTGATGCTATTGGGATAAAATACCATTTGCTTGCCATCCAAAACTTCGGTAAAACGGTCACTGTAGAAAAGATCCACAAAGCAATAGTTGTTTGAAACACGCGAGGAACGGTGACAATCGTGTTGTATCGCAGATGAAGAGTTAGTGCTAAAAGTCGGTCAATTGACACTGCAGCTAAGATGAGAAAAGAAACGCCAGCTGTCGTCCAACCTGATAGAGACTGAACCACTTTCAAAGTACAAAACACAGCAAAATTCTTCTCAAGTTGCGCTATTTTATACCCCACAAAAAGCGGTTGAGATATAAGGCCCACAAGAAGATCAGAAACCGCAAGACAAGCCAAAAGGATGAACGATGGCGAATGAAGATCTCGGGTTTTTCCAATCGCAAATACAACAATGAAGTTTCCTATGCATGTTAGCAAAGAAAAGAAAGAGTTCAGGATACATGTTACAATATTTGTGATGAAAACTTCTTCCGTGCTATCAAAGTGAAGCTGATCTTCAAAGAAGAAACAGTCTTGTTCTGTATTGTTCATGGCGAACAAAGCGTGCTGCCAGAAAGCCGTTCTCAGCTAGAACCAGATGAATTAAAACCAGTCTTTCTTTATCTAGTCGCTTTTCATGGAGTCAGCGTTCGGATTCGATTTTTTTTTTCATTGTTTTTCTTGTCCTCTGATGTTCATATATCAACTAAAACTCTTTTTAGGAGTGAGAAAAAACATACGTAGATCGATTCAACTGATGAAACACACTTCAACATTTCCCTAATATACAACACAGTGGTGTCACAACTAATTACCAGTTTTATACTTACGTCATAACATAAATAATGGACTACTTGTTTGCGTTCACAGTGACAATTACGATTGGTTGTCCTAAATCGCAACAATGTTGGTCACACGTTAACATACTTAAAATGACGAATACTTCTAGCACCAATATTTGCTGCAACGATGTAAATGTTTGGCATTACACTTGAAGCATATAAATGCCAGGCAAGTACTTAGTGTAGCTTCGGAACCTTTCCAGCGATTATCAGATTTTAATTTATGCCCTAGAAAAGGGCATTTGTTTTTAATTCAGAAGATGAGACTACACGCGAATACCTTTACCATAACCAATGTTTCAATATTACAGTTCAACAACAATGCAGTTTTACAATGTTAAGCATTCCAATAAGATGGACACCATATTATTTCAGGTTTTTAAAGACCAAATTAATATTGAGTGGAAAACATCCATCCAAACGTTGACATTCGTGATGTGATTCCAAGTTTAATCTGTTCTCAGTCATCTTTATCAAGGTAGAAAATCATAAAAGGAAGTTATAAGTTCAACAGCTGCTGTTCTGAGTATATTGTACCATTAGACGTTAAGAAAGAAAGATCGGTGGCAGTTTCACGGTGGACTTACGAACACCGACTTTTTGAGTTTTTTTTCGTCTTCTTCTTTTTTGAATGACGATTTGCTGGGAGAGAACTTGAGCCATGAGGGCCCTAAAGGAGTTGTGTCACTGCTACCCAGCTCATCTTGATGTTAATAATGCCAATTACGCGTCCTTGTTTGCCTTGGAACAGGAGAAATTACTTATGAATGACAAAATTGCAGCTTCGTGTCCAACAAATACGTCTCTCAACAAATAATTCTGAACGTTAAAAAACGGTTTGGCTGACCGGTTTCCAAAGACCACAATTGCCATCCGTTTCAATATTCTTCAACATCTTCTCTAATTAGTCTATTTGTCGTGATATTTATATCTTTTTCTATAGTTTTGAGCGGTTATTTTTATGTTTCGCTCAATTTGGTGGCAGTTTTCGCAGTCTGAGTTTCATAAATTTCGTGAGACAGCTCTTTTTATGCTTCAGGCCAGTGACAGGTTTCGGACCCCGAAACAAGATTCCTCAAAGAATTTTAAGCCATATATTTGGTGACAAACATTCTAATTATTACTGTAAAATTTATAATGTAGTCAACTATTTCCATAAATGCACTCATTATGGTTTCCGGGCTCTATCTTTTTATCTAAACCGTTATAATACGCAGCGAGAAAGGTTCGGGACAAGATCGGGTCATAACAAAATTATTATTATTATTTCACAATAGAACATACAAAACAGAACTTAACAGTAAAACCAATTTAAAAAATGAGTATTTGTCGATGGATATTCTGTATATTTTGCTGTTATTACTTGTTATTTTTTTTTTCTGTAATTTGAATTTTCTATAAGGGTATTAATTTTCGCGACGATTTCAGTATTCGTGGGTCTTTAATTTGGCGATTTTTTTCTAAAATCGCAAAAAGACTGGCGAAATTAATTAACTACCAAGAAGGCATATATGTTAAGAAACAGCTGAGGAGAAATGCATAAAAATATTTACTTTATTCTCAACCTTAGATAAGCAAATAAATTTTAGCCTAAACGACAGCCGTGAGAGCTCCCGGTCCTTCGAGTTGGACTTAACAACGTTTCATAGAAAGTGTGAGAATGTTATACAAAACGTTTAAAGGAGTCCGTCCGTGTTAAACCTGAATTGACCATACAAGATTTCTTCTCATGATATTCTTCACAGCACGCCGTATCTCGCTGATTCTCCAACAGTACAAAACCGGGTTTAAAAAGGAGTTAATGAAAATAGCTGTTGCAGCATAGTCATAAGCAATCCTTACTGTTCTCGAGAACCCGATAAATGTTTCCACCACCAACAGAACCATGTATGGAAGATAGAAAATTAAAAACAAGCCGTAGATACAAAGCACTGTGGCAGCTAATTTTCTGCATTTGAGTATGTTCATTGTTTTGTTTTGAAGATGGCTGACCGCCATGTCTTGGTCCTTTACCTGATGTTGGTGCCTTCGAACAATTCTGAATATTTTCCAGCTACTTGCCATGATCACAGAGAAAAAAAGGAAGCCTAATCCTATCGGAATAAAGAACCATTTGTTTGTCATCCAAAACCTCAGTAATACGGTCACTGTCACAAACATCCACAAAATAAACGTGGTTTGAAAGACGCGTGGACCGGTGACAATCGTGTTGTATCGTAGATGAAGAGTTAGTGCTAAAAGTCGGTCAACTGACACTGCAGCTAAGATGAGAAAAGAAACGCCACCCGTTGTCCAACCTGACAGAGACTGAACCACGCTTAAAGTACAAAACACAACGAAATTCTTCTCAAGTTCCGCTATTTTATACCCCACAAAAAGCGGTTGACATGTCTTGGTCCTTTACCTGATGTTGGTGCCTTCGAACAATTCTGAATATTTTCCAGCTACTTGCCATGATCACAGAGAAAAAAAGGAAGCCTAATCCTATCGGAATAAAGAACCATTTGTTTGTCATCCAAAACCTCAGTAATACGGTCACTGTCACAAACATCCACAAAATAAACGTGGTTTGAAACACGCGTGGAACGGTGACAATCGTGTTGTATCGTAGATGAAGAGTTAGTGCCAGAAGTCGGTCAATTAACACTGCAGCTAAGATGAACAAAGAAGCGCCACCTGTTATCCAAGCTGATAGAGACTGAAGCACTTTCAATTTACAGAAAACTGCGAAATTCTCCTTAAGTTCAGCTATTTTATGTGCCACAAAGAATGGTTGACATATAAGGCCGACCAGAAGGTCTGAAACCGCCAGGCAGCCCAAAAGGATGAACGTTGGAGAATGAAGTTCTTGGGTTTTTCCAATTGTAAAAACAATAAGAAAGTTTCCCAAACACGTCACCAGAGAGAATAGACAATTTAGACTACACGTTACAATGTTTGCGGTAAAAACACCTTCCGTTCTATCGAAGTTAACGTACTTGTCTTCAAAAAAGAAACAGTTTTTTCCTGTTTGGTTCATGGCAAAGAAAGCTTGTTGTGAACGAATAAGACGAAGTTGCTGGAAAGTCGCTTTGAGCCAGTTAAGTAGATCCCAATCTTTCTGTCCTTTTTCACTGAGTCAGGATTCGACTGGCGGTATTTTTTAAGGGTTTCTCTTGAACTTTGTTGGTCTTAAGAAATCGTAAGTACGAAATACAAATCTTTTTTTAACTATTTGAAGCAAATTTTCATTTTTTGTTTTAATATGTAGGATTGCCAATTTGACCGAACTAACTGCCAATTTTACTTGCTTCCTTATATAAGAAATTGACTAGTTGTTTACGTTCACAGATACAATTAAAATTGGTTTTCAGGTCTCGAAACAATGTTGGCCACCCGTTAACATGCTTAAAAATGACGAATACTTCAGTGAGCAATATTTGCTGCAACGGTGTATGCTTGGCCTTACACTAAAGGGATATAACTGCTACGCGAGGACTTAGCTTATTCTAAACGTTTCCATCAAAAGTGATTTGTTACCGTCGCAGCAAAGGGTGGTATTTTCTGGTAGTTTTATTTTATTATTACAATTATAATTATAACTATTATTATTAGATTATTTGACTACCAGCATGCCTTTACAATAAGAGATAGGCAATATATTATTTCAGGATTTAAAGACCAAATATGGAGTTTAAAATATCCATCTTAACCGAGATATTTGGAATGTGATTTCAAGATTAATCTGTTCTCAGTTATCTGTAGAAAGTGGAAAAAATTATACAGAAAAATACAAATTCAACAATATAATGTAAGAAAGCAAGGACAATATTGGTGATAATGTCCCTAGAGACCTACGGGAACTTTTCGAGTTCTTTAAGAGACGAGCAGCACTGATGTAGAGGTTGCTTTTCGCGCTTTTTAATTCGGAACGGGTTTTTCCAATCACAAATACAACAATAAAGTTTCCTATGCATGTAAGCAAAGAAAAGAAAGAGTTGAGGATACATGTTACAATATTTGTAATGAAGACTTCTTCCGTGCTATCAAAGTGAAGCTGAACTTCGAGGAAGAAACGGTCTTTTTCTGTATTGTTTATGGCGAACAAAGCGTGCTGTCAGAAAGCCGTTCTCAGAGCCAAATGAACTGAAACCAGTCTTTCTTTATCTAGTCGCTTTTCATGGAGTCAGCGTTCGGATTGCACTGGTAATTTTTTTTCATTTTTTTTCTTGTCCTCTGATGCTCATATACTAACTCAAGCTCAGGCTACGACTGAAAAAAAACTCAGCATACGTAAATCGATTCAACTAATCAAGCACACTTCAAAATTTTCCTAATGTACAACATTGCACTTTTTTAAGGCACGTTCGTGACAATACTAATTGCCAGTTTTATACCTACGTCATAACAAATAATGGACTACTTCTTTACGCTCACACTGACAATTACGATTGGTTGTCCTGAATCGCAACGATGTTTATCACACGTCAACATACTTAAAATGATGAATACTTCTAGGAACAATATTAACTGCAACGATGTAAATGTTTGGCACTACACTTAAGGCATATAAATGGTAAGCGAGTACTTAGTGAAGCTTCGGAACCTTTCCAGCGATCATCAGATTTTAATTTATGCCTGTGAAAAGGGCATTTATTTTTAATTCAAAAGATGAGACTACACGCGAATACCTTTACCATAACCAATGTTTCAATATTAAAGTTCAATAACAATGCAGTTTTACAATGTTAAGCATCAAGACCAAATTAATATTGAGTGAAAAACATCCATCCAAACGTTGACATTCGGAATGTGATTCCAAGTTTAAGCTGTTCTCAGTCATCTTTATCAAGGTAGAAAATCATAAAAGGAAGTTATAAGTTCAACAGCTGGGTGTTCTGAATATATTGTACCATTAGACGTTAAGAAAGAAAGATCGGTGGCAGTTTCACAGTAGACTTACGAACACCGACTTTTTGAGTTTTTTTTTTTTCTTTTTTGAGAGACGATTTGCAGAGAGAGAACGTGAGCCATAAGTCCTAAAGGGGTTGTGTCAAGGCTACCTACAATGCTCATCTTGATGTTAATTATCATATGCCAATTACGCGTCCTTGTTTGCCTTGGAACTGGAGAAATTATTTATGAATGACAAAATAGACCTATTCCGCTTACTCAATGTTATACCCAATTCAAATCTCCCGGGGTTAAGATTCTTTTGTGTATTGTATTTGCATTATAATGTGCAATTCACATTTAAATGATATGGAAATTGTTGAAACAAAACGTTTTATTCTCAAAGGGTTTGAATTGGGTACAACATTGAGTTAGCCGAATAGGTCTATTACAGCTTCGTGCTAAACAAATATGTCTCTCAACAAATAATTCTTAACTTTAAAAAACAGTTAGGCTAACCGGTTTGCAAAAACCACATGATTTGCCATCCGCTTCAATCTTCTTCAACATCTTCCCTTTTTTTAGCGTATTTGTTGTGATATTTATATCTTTTTCTAACGTTTTGAGAGGTTATTTTTATGTTTCGCTCAATTTGGTGGCCGTTTTCGCAGTCTGAGTTTCATACATTTCGTGAGACAGCTCTTTTTATGCTGCAGGGCAGTGACAGGTTCCGGACCCCGAAACAACATTCCTCAAAGAATTCAGTTTAAGCCATATATTTGGTGGCAAACATTCTAATTATTATTAATTATTATTATTATAATGTAGTCAATTATTTCCATGTGCCAGTATTTGTCGATGAATATTCTGTATATTTTGCTGTTATTACTTGTTAATTTTTTTTCTGCAATTTGAATTTTCTATATGGGATTTCAGTATTCGTGGGTGTTTAATTTGGCGATTTTTTCTAAAGTCGCAAAAAGACTCGCGAAATTAATTAACTACCAAGAGGGCATATATGTTAAGAAACAGCTGAGGAGAAATGCATAAAAATATTTACGTTATTCTTAACCTTAGATAAACAAAGAAAGCTTAGCCTAAACAACAGCCGTGAGAGCTCCCGGTCCTTCGAGTTGGACTAAAACAACGTTTCATAGAAAGTGTAAGAATGTTATACAAAACGTTTAAAGGAGTCCGTCCGTGTTAAACCTGAATTGACTATAAAAGATTTCTTCTCATGATATTCTTCATACGACGCCGTATCTCGCTGATTCTCCAACAGTACAAAACCGGGTGTTTAAAAAGGAGTTAATGACAATAGCTGTTGCAGCATAGTCATAGGCAATCCTTACTGTTCTGGAGAACCCGATAAATGTTTCCACCACCAACAGAACCATGTATGGAAGAAAGAAAATTAAGAATTGAGTCAGGATTCGACTTGCGGTATTTTTTAAGTGTTTCTCTTGAACTTTGTTGGTCTTTAGAAATCGTCACTACGAAATACAGATCTTTTTTTAAATATTTGAAGCAAATTTTCAGTTTTTGTTTTAATATGTAGGATTGCCAATTGGACCGAACTAACTGCCAATTTTACCTGCTTTATTGTATAAGAAATTGACTTAGTTGTTTATGTTCACAGCTACAATTACAGTTAGTTTCAGGACTCGACACAATGTTGGCCACCCGTTAACATGCTTAAAAATGACGAATACTTCAGTGAGCAATATTTGCTGCAACGGTGTATTTATTTAATGCTTGGTCTTACACTACAGGGATATAATTGCTACGCGAGGATTTAGCTTATTCTAAGCGTTTCCGTCAAAAGTGATTTTTTACCGTCGCAGGAAAGGGTGGTATTTTCTGGTAGTTTTATTTTATTATTCCAATTATAATTGTAACTATTATTATTAGATTATTTGACTACCAGCATTCCTTTGCCATGAGAAAATGCTTCATTTATGCAAGTTTTACAATAAGAGATAGACAATATATTATTTCATGATTTAAAGACCAAATATGGAGTTTAAAATATCCATCGTAACCGAGATATTTGGAATGTGATTTCAAGTTTAATCTGTTCTCAGTTATCTGTACAAAGTGGAAAAAATTATACAGAAAAATACAAATTCAACAATATAATGTGACAAAGCAAGGACAACATTGGTGATAATGTCACTAAAGACCTACAAGAACTTGTCGAGTTCTTTAAGAGACGAGCAGGACTGAGGTAGAGGTTGCTTTTCGCGCTATTTAATTCGGAACGTGTGTCTTAGGGGAATAGGGGCTTTGGGTAGGAAAAAACGTCTTTTCATAAGCGTAGGCTCCGAAATTTACTTTATCAGGTGTGCGTTATCTGATTCATAATTTAGAGAGGCTCTTTATCAAACTACGCCCTCGCGATTGCTTCTTTGACGTATTTTGGAAAGGCAGCTCTCGAAAAGCCGAATGACCTAATTTTGACAACCGACGATTTTGATTGTCATTCTTGTAGTTCTCAATCCCAGTCAAACTTTTCACAATCCTTCTCTGTTAAAACTCAAAAGACATTAAAATCGTGTATTGTGCCCGCTCAGCTAGCCTTTTAATTAACCCAACTTTGAAACAGGGGCACCCAACGGCAATTTTAGGAAAATATCTGTTCGGAAGACGATTTGAGATCTAGAATTTTCGGAACACTTGTTGTAAAATGTCTTGCTCGCCTGCCTCTCCTAAGATTTTCGAACATCTACAAAATGGTATAATTACCCATTTTTAACGGATTTTTACCCTAAAAAAGGCCACCTAGAATTTTCGGGAGCCTTTTCCTGGCTGAAATTTTCGAAACGGTAAGTTTTGATCCCTATCATTTTCGGATCACTAGACTTTCAGCTGGGAAATCCGAACAGATAAAAAGTTTTTAGGGGATAAAAATATGCCTATATCTACCGTTTAAATACTAAAATGAGTTCAAAAATGCTATGTTAAGTGGTTTTGAACTATATCCTAGTTGGGTGCCCCTGTCTGAAAGGACTTCCTAACAAATAAAGCGCGTATAGTTTGACTTTCATATCTATCAGCTTTGCAGATTAAGCAGACATGTTATTTTCTGGATGATCTCCTTATAAAATTTTTCACAGCGCGTCGTATCTCGCTGATTCTCCAGCAGTACACAACTGGATTCAAACAAGAGTTGATGAAAACAGCAGTTGCAGCATACTCATCTACAATCATTACCGTTCTCGTATATCCGATAAATGTTTTCATCATCAACGATACCATGACAGGAAGATAAAAAATTAACAACAAACCATAGATATAAAGTACTGTCACAGCTGATTTTCTGCACTTGAATATGTTTACTTTGAAGGCGGGAAGATGGCTGACAGCTATAGTTTGGTCCTTTATTTGCTGTTGGTGCTTTCGAACAATTCGGAATATTTTCCAGATACTTATCATAATGACAAAGAATGTAAGAAACCATACTGCTATCGGGATAAAATACCATTTGTTTGCCATCCAAAACCTCGGTAAAACGGTCACTGTAGCAAAGATCCACAAAGCAACAGTTGCTTGAGACACGCGAGGAACGGTGACAATCGTGTTGTATCGTAGATGAAGAGTTAGTGCTAAAAGTCGGTCAACTGACACTGCAGCTAAGATGAGAAAAGAAACGCCACCTGTTGTCCAACCTGACAGAGACTGAACCACGCTTAAAGTACAAAACACAGCGAAATTCTTCTCAAGTTGCGCTATTTTATACCCCACAAAAAGGGGTTGACATATAAGGCCGACAAGAAGATCAGAAACCGCAAGACAAGCCAAAAGGATGAACGATGGCGAATGAAGATCTCGGGTTTTTCCAATCGCAAATACAACAATGAAGTTTCCTATGCATGTTAGCAAAGAAAAGAAAGAGTTCAGGATACATGTTACAATATTTGTAATGAAAACTTCTTCCGTGGTATCAAAGTGAAGCTGATCTTCAAAGAAGAAACAGTCCTCTTCTGTATTGTTCATGGCGAACAAAGCGTGCTGCCAGAAAGCCGTTCTCAGCTAGAGCCAGATGAATTGAAACCAGTCTTTCTTTGTCTGGTCCCTTTTCATGGAGTCAGCGTTCGGATTCGATTGTTTTTTCCTTGCTTTTTTTTGCCCTCTGATGCTCATATACCAACTAAAACTCTTTTTACGAGTAAGAAAAAACATACGTAGATCGATTCAACTGATCAAACACACTTCAACATTTCCCTAATATACAACATAGCACTTGTTTAAAGAACAGTGGTTTCAAAACTAATTGCCAGTTTTATGCTTACGTCATGACATAAATAAAGGACTACTTGTTTACGTTCACAGTTACAATTACGATTGGTTGTCACACGTTAACATACTTAAAATGACGAATACATCTAGCACCAATATTTGCTGCAACGATGTAAATCTTTGGCACCACACTTGAGGCATATAAACTGATGCTAGGCGAGTACTTAGTGTAGCTTCGAAACCATTCAGTGATCATCAGATTTTAACTTATGCCCGTGAGAAGGGCATTTATTTTTAATTCACAAGAGGAGACTACACGCGAAAACCTTTACCATAACCAATGTTTCAATATTACAGTTCAATGACAATGCAGTTTTACAATGTTAAGCATTCCAATAAGATGGACACCATATTATTTCAGGTTTTTAAAGACCAAATTAATATTGAGTGGAAAACATCCATCCAAACGTTGACATTCAGAATGCGATTCCAAGTTTAATCTGTTCTCAGTCATCTTTATCAAGGTAGAAAATCATAACAGGAAGTTAGAAGTTCAACGGCTGCTGTTCTGACTATATTGTACCATTAGACGTTAAGAAAGAAAGATCGGTGGCAGTTTCACGGTGGACTTACGAACACCGACTTTTTGAGTTTTTTTTCGTCTTCTTCTTTTTTGAATGACGATTTGCTGGGACAGAACTTGAGCCATGAGGGCCCTAAAGGAGTTGTGTCACTGCTACCCAGCTCATCTTGATGTTAATAATGCCAATTACGCGTCCTTGTTTGCCTTGGAACTGGAGAAATTACTTATGAATGACAAAATTGCAGCTTCGTGTCAAACAAATACGTCTCTCAACAAATAATTCTGAACGTTAAAAAACGGTTTGGCTGACCGGTTTCCAAAGACCACAATTGCCATCCGTTTCAATATTCTTCAACATCTTCTCTAATTAGTCTATTTGTTGTGATATTTATATCTTTTTCTAAAGTTTTGAGCGGTTATTTTTATGTTTCGCTCAATGTGGTGGCAGTTTTCGCAGTCTGAGATTCATAAATTTCGTGAGACAGCTCTTTTTATGCTTCAGGCCAGTGACAGGTTTCGGACCCCGAAACAAGATTCCTCAAAGAATTTTAAGCCATATATTTGGTGACAAACATTCTAATTATTACTGTAAAATTTATAATGTAGTCAACTATTTCCATAAATGCACTCATTATGGTTTCCGGGCTCTATCTTTTTATCTAAACCGTTATAATACGCAGCGAGAAAGGTTCGGGACAAGATAGTCATAATAAAATTATTATTATTATTTCACAATAGAACATACAAAACAGAACTTAACAGTAAAACCAATTTAAAAAATGAGTATTTGTCGATGTATATTCTGTTTTTTTTGCTGTTATTACTTGTTATTTTTTTTTCTGTAATTTGAATTTTCTATATGGGTATTAATTTTCGCGACGATTTCAGTATTCGTGGGTCTTTAATTTGGCGATTTTTTTCTAAAATCGCAAAAAGACTCGCGAAATTAATTAACTACCAAGAAGGCATATATGTTAAGAAACAGCTGAGGAGAAATGCATAAAAATATTTACTTTATTCTCAACCTTAGATAAACAAATAAAGCTTATCCTAAACAACAGCCGTGAGAGCTCCCGGTCCTTCGAGTTGGACTTAACGTTTCATAGAAAGTGTGAGAATGTTATACAAAACGTTTAAAGGAGTCCGTCCGTGTTAAACCTGAATTCACCATACAAGATTTCTTCTCATGATATTCTTCACAGCACGCCGTATCTCGTTGATTCTCCAACAGTACAAAACCGGGTTTAAAAAGGAGTTAATGAAAATAGCTGTTGCAGCATAGTCATAGGCAATCCTTACTGTTCTCGAGAACCCGATAAATGTTTCCACCAACAACAGAACCATGTATGGAAGATAGAAAATTAAGAACAACCCGTAGATATAAAGCACTGTGGCAGCTGATTTTCTGCATTTGAGTATGTTCATTGTTTTGTTTTGAAGATGGCTGACCGCCATGTCTTGGTCCTTTACCTGATGTTGGTGCCTTCGAACAATTCTGAATATTTTCCAGCTACTTGCCATGATCACAGAGAAAAAAAGGAAGCCTAATCCTATCGGAATAAAGAACCATTTGTTTGTCATCCAAAACCTCAGTAATACGGTCACTGTCACAAACATCCACAAAATAAACGTGGTTTGAAACACGCGTGGAACGGTGACAATCGTGTTGTATCGTAGATGAAGAGTTAGTGCCAGAAGTCGGTCAATTAACACTGCAGCTAAGATGAACAAAGAAGCGCTACCTGTTATCCAAGCTGATAGAGACTGAGGCACTTTCAATTTACAGAACACTGCGAAATTCTCCTTAAGTTCAGCTATTTTATGTGCCACAAAGAATGGTTGACATATAAGGCCGACCAGAAGGTCTGAAACCGCCAGGCAGCCCAAAAGGATGAACGTTGGAGAATGAAGTTCTTGGGTTTTTCCAATTGTAAAAACAATAAGAAAGTTTCCCAAACACGTCACCAGAGAGAATAGACAATTTAGACTACACGTTACAATGTTTGCGGTAAAAACACCTTCCGTTCTATCGAAGTTAACGTTCTTGTCTTCAAAAAAGAAACAGTTTTTTCCTGTTTGGTTCATGGCAAACAAAGCTTGTTGTGAACAAATAAGACGAAGTTGCTGGAAAGTCGCTTTGAGCCAGTTAAGTAGATCCCAATCTTTCTGTCCTTTTTCACTGAATCAGGATTCGACTGGCGGTATTTTTTAAGGGTTTCTCTTGAACTTTGTTGGTCTTAAGAAATCGTAAGTACGAAATACAAATCTTTTTTTAACTATTTGAAGCAAATTTTCATTTTTTGTTTCAATATGTAGGATTGCCAATTTGACCGAACTAACGCCAATTTTACTTGCTTCCTTATATAAGAAATTGACTAGTTGTTTACGTTCACAGATACAATTAAAATTGGTTTTCAGGTCTCGAAACAATGTTGGCCACCCGTTAACATGCTTAAAAATGACGAATACTTCAGTGAGCAATATTTGCTGCAACGGTGTATTTATTTAATGCTTGGTCTTACACTAAAGGGATATAATTGCTACGCGAGGATTTAGCTTATTCTAGTAAGCGTTTCCATCAAAAGTGATTTGTTACTGTCGCAGGAAAGGGTGGTATTTTCTGGTAGTTTTATTTTATTATCACAATTATAATTATAACTATTATTATTAGATTATTTGACCACCAGCATGCCTTTACCATGAGGAAATGTTTCCTTTATACAAATTTTACAATAAGAGATAGACAATATATTATTGCAGGATTTAAAGACCAAATATGGAGTTTAAAATATCCATCTTAACCGAGATATTTGGAATGTGATTTCAAGTTTAATCTGTTCTCAGTTATCTGTACAAAGTGGAAAAAATTATACAGAAAAATACAAATTCAACAATATAATGTAAGAAAGCAAAGACAACATTGGTGATAATGTCACTCGGAGACCTACAAGAACTTTTCGAGTTCTTTAAGAGACGAACAGCACTGAGGTAGAAGTAGACTTGCTACAAGTCGACCTGTTGGCGAGCGGAGCGAGCCTTGTTTGGCCGCGAAGCGGGCGACAGCGAGCGACGAAGTCGCGAGAGGTCGACTTGTCTCGCTTGATGGCTTTCCATTTGCATTTCGCGCCAAAAATGGGGAGTGGCGTGACTCGCATTTGGGGTTTCCGGTTTCATTTTCAATGGCGGAATGTGTTGATTCCACTCCGACTAAATCTATTGAACGTGTGTGTGTATCTCCATCATCGAAGGAGCAAATTTGTTTACTTTGTGAGAAAGTTGTCTCTAACAATGATTTTTGGCGAAAGTTGAGGACCTCAGGGGGCCGGCAAAAAACAAAAGCTTCCTTCAATCTCGAGTCAATATTTCACAACCAAGGAATCCTTGACATCCGTACACATTTTAAACCTACAGAGACTTTTCAATACACGCATTTCCCTTCCTGTAACCCTCACGGGGTCGGAAAAGGTCTCATAAAGGGCGAAGCCCTTAGACTTCCGAGAACTAACTCGTCAGCTTAATTCTTCTATGAAAACATCTACAACTTCAAAAAACGCCTTCGCGCTAGAGGTTACCCTCACAATCTCATAGAAAAAATCACCTCTGAGGATAAATTTACCGAACGGAAGTCAGCTTTACAAAAGAGCAATGAAGTGCGAAAGAAAATTCTGCCTTTCGTTACCACGTACCACCCTGCTTTGCAGAACCTTAAAAACATTTTAATGAGCCAATGGCACTGAATTCAAGATCAACTACTACCGAAAGAAATATACAACGAGCCTCCCATCATTTCATATAAAAGAGAAAAATCGCTGGCAGATATCCTCGTTGGAGCAAAACTATAAGGTCACGTATCACACTGACACCGCGCCATATGAAATCCGACGAGGGACTTTTTTGAAAGTCTAAGGTAGAAGTTGCTTTTCGCGCTATTTAATTCGGAACGTGTGTCTTAATAGGGGCTTTGGGTTAGGAAAAAACGTCTTTTAATAAGCGTAGGCTCCGAAATTTAGTTTATCAGGTGTGCGTTATCTGATTCATAATTTAAAGAGACTCTTTATCAAACTACGTACTCGCGATTGCTTCCTCCTGACGTATTTTGGAAAGGCAACTCTCGAAAAGCCGAATAATCTCATTTAGACAACCGACTCTTTTGATTGTCATTCTTGTGGTTCTCAATGCCAGTCAGACTTTTTACAATCCTTCTCTATTAAAACGCAAAAGACATTAAAATCGTGTATTGTGCCCGCTCAGCTAGCCTTTGAATTAATTAAACTTTGAAAGGACTTGCTAAAGGCTTGTTTATCGTGGAAAGTGCACTTAGCTCATCCAGCTACTAGCACTCCACTCGAGCAAATAAAGCGTTTATAGTTTGACGTTCATATCTATTCAAAACACAGGACAGCTTTGTAAATAAGCAGACCTGTCATTCTCTGATTGATCTCCTTAAAAAATTTTTCATAGCGCGTCGTATCTCACCGATTCTCCAGCAGTACACAACTGGATTCAAACAAGAGTTGATGAAAACAGCAGTTGCAGCATACTCATAGACAATCCTTACTGTTCTCGTATATCCGACAAATTTTTTTATCATCAGCAATACCATAAAAGGAAGATAAAAAATTAAGAACAAACCGTAGATATAAAGCACTGTCACAGCTGATTTTCTGCATTTGAGTATGTTCACTGTGTTGGCCGGAACATGGCTGACAGCTATAGTTTGCTCCTTTATTTGCTGTTGGTGCTTTCGAACAATTCGGAATATTTTCCAGATACTTATCATGATGACAAAGAATGTAAGAAAGCCTAATGCTATCGCAATAAAATACCATTTGTTTGCCATCCAAAACCTCAGTAATACGGTCACTGTAGCAAAGATCCACAAAGCAATAGTTGTTTGAAACACGCGAGGAACGGTGACAATCGTGTTGTATCGTAGATGAAGAGTTAGTGCTAAAAGTCGGTCAATTGACACTGCAGCTAAGATGGCAAAAGAAACACCAGATGTCGTAAAACCTGATAGAGACTGAACCACGTTCAAAGTACAAAACACAGCGAAATTCTTCTCAAGTTCCGCTATTTTATACCCCACAAAAAGCGGTTGACATAAAAGGCCAACCAGAAGGTCTGAAACCGCAAGACAACCCAAAAGGATGAACGATGGCGAATGAAGATCTCGGGTTTTTCCAATCACAAATACAACAATAAAGTTTCCTATGCATGTAAGCAAAGAAAAAAAAGAGTTGAGGATACATGTTACAATATTTGTAATGAAGACTTCTTCCGTGGTATCAAAGTGAAGCTGATCTTCAAAGAAGAAACAGTCTCTTTCGGTATTGTTCATGGCGAACACTGAAGCGTGCTGCCAGAAAGCCCTTCTCAGCTAGAGCCAGATGAATTGAAGCCAGACTATCTTTATCTAGTCGCTCTTCGTGGAGTCAGCATTCGGATTGCACTGGTAATTTTTTTTCATTTTTTTTTTCTTGTCATCTGATGCTCATATACTAACTCAAGCTCAGGTTACGACTGAAAAAAAACTCAGCATACGTAGATCGATTCAACTAATGAAGCACACTTCAAAATTTTCCTAATGTACAACATTGCACTTTTTTAAGGCACGTTCGTGACAATACTAATTGCCAGTTTTATACTTACGTCATAACATAAATAATGGACTACTTATTTACGCTCACACTGACAATTACGATTGGTTGTCCTGAATCGCAACGATGTTTATCACACGTCAACATACTTAAAATGACGAATACTTCTAGGAACAATATTAACTGCAACGATGTAAATGTTTGGCACTACACTTAAGGCATATAAATGGTAAGCGAGTACTTAGTGTAGCTTCGGAACCTTTCCAGCGATCATCAGATTTTAATTTATGCCTGTGAAAAGGGCATTTATTTTTAATTCAAAAGATGAGACTACACGCGAATACCTTTACCATAACCAATGTTTCAATATTAAAGTTCAATAACAATGCAGTTTTACAAGGAGAGGAGAAATGCATAAAAATATTTACGTTATTCTTAACCTTAGATAAACAAAGAAAGCTTAGCCTAAACAACAGCCGTGAGAGCTCCCGGTCCTTCGAGTTGGACCAAACAACGTTTCATAGAAAGTGTAAGAATGTTATACAAAACGTTTAAAGGAGTCCGTCCGTGTTAAACCTGAATTGACTATAAAAGATTTCTTCTCATGATATTCTTCATACGACGCCGTATCTCGCTAATTCTCCAACAGTACAAAACCGGGTGTTTAAAAAGGAGTTAATGAAAATAGCTGTTGCAACATAGTCATAGGCAATCCTTACTGTTATGGAGAACCCGATAAATGTTTCCACCACCAACAGAACCATGTATGGAAGATAGAAAATTAAGAATTGAGTCAGGATTCGACTTGCGGTATTTTTTAAGTGTTTCTCTTGAACTTTGTTGGTCTTTAGAAATCGTCACTACGAAATACAGATCTTTTTTTAAATATTTGAAGCAAATTTTCAGTTTTTGTTTTAATATGTAGGATTGCCAATTGGACCGAACTAACTACCAATTTTACCTGCTTTATTATATAAGAAATTGACTTAGTTGTTTATGTTCACAGCTACAATTACAATTAGTTTCAGGACTCGACACAATGTTGGCCACCCGTTAACATGCTTAAAAATGACGAATACTTCAGTGAGCAATATTTGCTGCAACGGTGTATTTATTTAATGCTTGGTCTTACACTAAAGGGATATAATTGCTACGCGAGGATTTAGCTTATTCTAAGCGTTTCCGTCAAAAGTGATTTTTTACCGTCGCAGGAAAGGGTGGTATTTTCTGGTAGTTTTATTTTATTATTCCAATTATAATTGTAACTATTATTATTAGATTATTTGACTACCAGCATTCCTTTGCCATGAGGAAATGTTTCATTTATGCAAGTTTTACAATAAGAGATAGACAATATATTATTTCAGGGTTTAAAGACCAAATATGGAGTTTAAAATATCCATCGTAACCGAGATATTTGGAATGTGATTTCAAGTTTAATCTGTTCTCAGTTATCTGTACAAAGTGGAAAAAATTATACAGAAAAATACAAATTCAACAATATAATGTGACAAAGCAAGGACGACATTGGTGATAATGTCACTAAAGACCTACAAGAACTTGTCGAGTTCTTTAAGAGACGAGCAGGACTGAGGTAGAGGTTGCTTTTCGCGCTATTTAATTCGGAACGTGTGGGGAATAGGGGCTTTGGGTTAGGAAAAAACGTCTTTTCATAAGCGTAGGCTCCGAAATTTACTTTATCAGGTGTGCGTTATCTGATTCATAATTTAGAGAGGCTCTTTATCAAACTACGCCCTCGCGATTGCTTCCTCTTGACGTATTTTGGAAAGGCAGCTCTCGAAAAGCCGAATGACCTAATTTTGACAACCGACGATTTTGATTGTCATTCTTGTAGTTCTCAATCCCAGTCAAACTTTTCACAATCCTTCTCTGTTAAAACGCAAAAGACATTAAAATCGTGTATTGTGCCCGCTCAGCTAGCCTTTTAATTAACCCAACTTTGAAACAGAGGCACCCAACGGCAATTTTCGGAAAATATCTGTTCGGAAGACGATTTGAGATCTAGAATTTTCGGAACACTTGTTGTAAAATGTCTTGCTCGCCTGCCTCTCCTAAGATTTTCGAACATCTACAAAATGGTATAATTACCCATTTTTAACGGATTTTTACCCTAAAAAAGGCCACCTAGAATTCTCGGGAGCCTTTTCCTGGCTGAAATTTTCGAAACGGTAAGTTTTGATCCCTATCATTTTCGGATCACTAGACTTTCAGCTGGGAAATCCGAACAGATAAAAAGTTTTTAGGGGATAAAAATATGCCTATATCTACCGTTTAAATACTAAAATACGTTCAAAAATGCTATTTTAAGTGGTTTTGAACTATATCCTAGTTGGGTGCCCCTGTTTGAAAGGACTTCCTAACAAATAAAGCGCGTATAGTTTGACTTTCATATCTATCAGCTTTGTAGATTAAGCAGACATGTTATTCTCTGGATGATCTCCTTATAAAATTTTTCACTCCGCGTCGTATCTCGCTGATTCTCCAGCAGTACACAACTGGATTCAAACAAGAGTTGATGAAAACAGCCGTTGCAGCATACTCATCTACAATCATTACCGTTCTCGTATATCCGATAAATGTTTTCATCATCAACGATACCATGACAGGAAGATAAAAAATTAACAACAAACCATAGATATAAAGTACTGTCACAGCTGATTTTCTGCACTTGAATATGTTTACTTTGAAGGCGGGAAGATGGCTGACAGCTATAGTTTGGTCCTTTATTTGCTGTTGGTGCTTTCGAACAATTCGGAATATTTTCCAGATACTTATCATAATGACAAAGAATGTAAGAAACCATACTGCTATCGGGATAAAATACCATTTGTTTGCCATCCAAAACCTCGGTAAAACGGTCACTGTAGCAAAGATCCACAAAGCAACAGTTGCTTGAAACACGCGAGGAACGGTGACAATCGTGTTGTATCGTAGATGAAGAGTTAGTGCTAAAAGTCGGTCAACTGACACTGCAGCTAAGATGAGAAAAGAAACGCCACCCGTTGTCCAACCTGACAGAGACTGAACCACGCTTAAAGTACAAAACACAGCGAAATTCCTCTCAAGTTCCGCTATTTTATACCCCACAAAAAGCGGTTGACATAAAAGGCCAACCAGAAGGTCTGAAACCGCAAGACAACCCAAAAGGATGAACGATGGCGAATGAAGATCTCGGGTTTTTCCAATCACAAATACAACAATAAAGTTTCCTATGCATGTAAGCAAAGAAAAGAAAGAGTTGAGCATACATGTTACAATATTTGTAATGAAGACTTCTTCCGTGCTATCAAAGTGAAGCTGATCTTCAAAGAAGAAACAGTCTCTTTCGGTATTGTTCATAGCGAACAAAGCGTGCTGCCAGAAAGCCGTTCTCAGAGCCAGATGAACTGAAACCAGTCTTTCTTTATCTAGTCCCTTTTCATGGATTCAGCGATCGGATTCGATCGCTTTTTTTTTTTCATTGTTTTTCTTGTCCTCTGATGCTCATATACCAACCAAAACTCTTTTTACGAGTGAGAAAAAACATACGTAGATCGATTCAACTGATCAAACACACTTCAACATAGCACTTGTTTAAAGAACAGTGGTTTCAAAACTAATTGCCAGTTTTATACTTACGTCATGACATAAATAATGGACTACTTGTTTACGTTCACAGTTACAATTACGATTGGTTGTCACACGTTAACATACTTAAAATGACGAATACATCTAGCACTAATATTTGCTGCAATGATGTTAATGTTTGGCACCACACTTGAGGCATATAAACTGATGCTAGGCGAGTACTTAGTGTAGCTTCGAAGCCTTTCAGTGATCATCAGATTTTAACTTATGCCTGTGAAAAGGGCATTTATTTTTAATTCACAAGAGGAGACTGCACGCGAATGCCTTTACCATAACCAATGTTTCAATATTACAGTTCAATGACAATGCAGTTTTACAATGTTAAGCATTCCAATACGATGAACACCATATTATTTCAGGTTTTTAAAGACCAAATTAATATTGAGTGGAAAACGTCCATCTAAACGTTGACATTCGGAATATGATTCCAAGTTTAAGCTGTTCTCAGTCATCTTTATCAAGGTGGAAAATCATAACAGGAAGTTATAAGTTCAGCAGCTGGGTGTTCTGAATATATTGTACCATTAGACGTTAAGAAAGAAAGATCGGTGACAGTTTCACAGCAGACTTAGGTAGACCGACTTTTTCAGTTTTTTTTTTTCTTTTTTGAGAGACGATTTTCAGAGAGAGAACGTGAGCCATAAGTCCTTAAGGGGTTGTGTCAAGGCTACCTACAATGCTCATCTTGATGTTAATAATCATATGCCAATTACGCGTCCTTGTTTGCCTTGGAACTGGAGAAATTACTTATGAATGACAAAATTTGCATCTTCGTGTCAAACAGATATCTGAAATATGTCTCTCAACAAATAATTCTGAACTTTAAAAAACCGTTAGGCTAACCGGTTTGCAAAAACGACATGAATTGCCATCCGCTTCAATCTTCTTCAACATCTTCCCTTTTTTAGTGTATTTGTTGTGATATTTATATCTTTTTCTAACGTTTTGTGTGGTTATTTTTATGTTTTCGCTCAAGTTGGTGGCAGTTTTCGCAGTTTGAATATTGATAAAATTCGTGACACAGCTCTTTTTATGCTGCAGGCTACAGGGTAAAAACTATTTTAGAAAGTCTAAGTGGCGAAGTTATCCTCGCCAGGTGCGAGCTAACTCTTTCAAAATTAATTCAAAGACTCTATACTCAATTGCGTGCATTGTTCGTGTTTTTTTCCTCTGAGCTATTCTGGAAAAGCAAATTTCGAAAAGCCGATCTATTTTAGTCACCCGACGCTTTGATTGTCTTTCTTGAAGTTCGCAAATGAAACTTTTTCATTTGTTTTTTGCCGGTTTAAAAGTGGTTGGAAGTCGGAAGTGTAACACAATACCAAGTGACATTGGAGACTCTTGTATGGGTATTTCTGACAAAATCGAAGTCGCAACGATCGGTATTAAGGAAACGCTCGGACGATCTTAACTCAGGAATTATATATAAAGCGACGATCACATTGCTATTCCGATCAAGTCCTACAACGTTAGACGTGCAATGCAACTGTCAAAAAGTGCATGTGCTTGCACATTAAAAGCTTTTGTTTTTCTTATCAAACCTGTGGCTTTTTTTTTTCAGGGGCACCCAACGATGGTTTTCGCCCTAACTACATTAAAACCTCCTTTTAGGCTATCCAGAGCACTTTTAGATATCTAGAAATGTATTCTAAGCAGCGCTATAAAATTGGTTTCCGTTCGGTCATACTAGGGAAACTTGAGTCTTTTCGAAATTACAAGGGCTTTTTTCTTTATATTTTCCCGACAATTTTAGCTGCAATTACACTGTAAAAGTTTTACGAAAGGGAGAATTTTTCTGATTCCTCTCTGCATCGCATTTTCTATTCCGAACATTTCAGGTTTCCTTTTTCTACGAAAAAAAAAAGCTTAATCTAGGGAGTGAAATGGGAAGAATTAAACTTCAGAAAATCGTAGGGAATTTATTAGATAAGCTTCGAAAATTGTACATTAATGGAACGGTCATCTAGAAATTTTTAACCTTCCTCAAACTGTAGAAAACTCTAAGCAATTTTTGCTTCTCCGAACAGATATTTCACAGAAAACCTTCGTTGGGTGCCCCTGTATTTTGTCGATCCCTTCGTCGGTGGCGTGGTTGCTCGAGGTCGCTAGCAGCGTTACCACGCATAACCATTATGCGACGACCTCAGTCGTTGAAAGACCGACGATTTGATGAAGAAACGAAACGAAAACGTTTACAAAAACCCATAGCCGAGAGGCTCACGATACGTGCTCAAAAGGCCTCTTTTCAGCTGACTTTACATGATGACTTCCTGACAGTTATCAAGTTAGCTATAGTGGTCAGCATGGCTGAATTTTAGGACAGCCAATCGTCATTGTCATGTTGAGCAAACAGAACTATTGATTAAATATCACGTACTAAATAAATTCGGCTGTTTACCTTGTGAAGGCTAATTTTTATGGCCATGTTAATTTGTATGCAAATTTGTTCGGCAAAGGTTAAGATGATCTGAATTTATATACTTTAAGGTTACTTGCTTTGCAAGATAACCACTGAAGGCACTTGGGAAAGATTGGCGTCGGTTTCAAAACTCAAGACGACTTTTGGACAAGCTTCACACATTAACAGGACATTTTCCTTGTCATGAACAAAACAAACAATGATACCTGTTTTTTCTTTGAAGAGAAATTCGTCAACCTCGATAGAACAGAGAACGTTTTTATCATCGACATCTTTGCTGTTATCCTAAATTTTTTGTTTTCTTTAATAACATGTGTGGGAAACTTTCTCATTGTATTTGCGATTGGAAAGACCCGAGATCTTCATTCGCCATCTTTCGTCCTTTTGGGCTGTTTGGCAGTTTCGGATCTTCTTGTTGGGCTGATATGTCAACCACTTTTAGCGGCATTCAAAATAGCTGAACTTAAAAGTAATTATACGGCGCGCTGTACATTGGAGATGCTTCTGCACACAACAGGGTGGATGACGTCTGGCGCATCTGCTTTGACTTTAGCTACGGTGTGTGTTGATCGAGTTCTGTCACTAATCCTACATTTACGATACAAAGCCCTGGTAACTGTTCCCCGCATTTTTAAAGCTTTTTCTGCTGTGTGGATCGTATCGATCACAGTTGTAGTTGTTAGGTTTCGTATGGGTAGTGGATGGTCTTTCGTTGCGATTGTCGCATTTCTTCTTCCCTTCCTTGTCATAGCCGTTTGTACGTTAAAAATATTTCAGGTTGTTCGAAGACACCAACGCCAGATAAACGATCAGTCTGAGGCTCTCAGCTATCTTCAATCCAACACAGTAAATGTACTCAAGTGCAGAAAATCAGCCGTGACAGTGCTTTATATTTATGGTCTGTTCGTTATTTTCTACCTGCCCTACTTTGTGGTGATGGTTTTGCAAATGAACGTTGTTGGATTCACAATAACATTGAGGATTGCCTGTGACTATGCTACGACTGCTGTTTTTATGAACTCTTCTTTGAATCCGCTAGTATATTGCTGGAGAAATAGAGAGATACGACGAGCTGTAAAGAATATCTTGAGAAGGGATCGAATGATAACTCCAGTCCAACTCGAATGGCCATCAAACACGCCATCTCGATGTCGCCCCAGTCATGCCAGACCATCGGATTTGCGACAGACTCTTCCACCGCGGGTTACTGCATGGAAAGCGTTCCCACGGCGGCCCAAAGAAGTGCTTTAACCTTTTAATCTGCAATATCCACATACACATTCTCCAAAATGATCGCCATAGATTTTCTTAAAGAATATGTTGAGAGAATTTGAAAAAAGAGTTATTTTCTCTTTGGTGATCATTTTATTAATTCTCATAACCTAATCTCTTGACAAAGTATGGATATCGATAGGAGAAAATTGAAGTTGGTCAAATTAAGAAGGCTTTTTCGTAAATGGATTGACTTAGAGTTGGCCAATTTTTGCCTGCGTGCAAAAATTTGGTTTACGCAGAAAAAAAGAAACAGTTTCCCGTATTAAAGGCTTCTCTTTTCTTCTAACCAGAGTCTCAGTCAAAATTGTTGGGACACTTTTGTGTCTCCTTGTCCCCTCAATGTTGGTGTACAAGATTTGGTGACCGAACCGCGATAAACAACTTTGAGAGGGACAAGGGGAGCACGAGAAGGAAAAAAACAGCGTTTGGTTTAAGTGTCCCAATTATTTTTATCTGAGACTGCAGCTGTCTCTCTCTAATGTCATATTCGGAAGATGATTCCCTTGTCAAAACAGCCAATTACAATTGTCGCAGTGGGCGACAAGGCCTTATAACTCCAATAAGCTCAGTGTAGATCGTGTAAATTCTGAGATTCAATTTTAAAAAAGACAGTGGCAGCATATTAGTAAGTATACAAATTTTTCAGACAGACGAAATTTGTTTAATATGACCTTATGGGAATCAAACAGTCTGTATCATGTATATTGTTCCTGACATTCAAAGACTGCTCGGTTGAATATATAGGAGAGTTAACATTAACCTTTACTCGGCTACAGACAGAGGACAGCTGTATAGCTAACCCTGAAACAGAAGCCTTTGTTGAGAGAAGAGACTTTAGGAAGGCTGACTCGGTTGAAAAGAAAAGATTGACGTCAAAAAAAAACCTGCCAAGGTTGAGGAATAGAATGAACAAAGCTTGGCTCATCAGACACCACTCCACTTATATTACAGTTTTATAAATGTAAGTAGCTAAAACCAGGCTCACACTCGTCTTTAACCTGCGCGCATTTAAAGTTATTAATTCTCAGTACAAAGACACAGTCTTTCCGTAGCATACAACAATGAACATCTCAGCTACAGACAAATTACTGTTTTAAATCGAAACGAGCTACAGCGCAATGCTACTTGTAAAAAGTTGTAACGTAAAACACAATTCTGAAAGCGTCTTTCGCTATTTTGCAAGTGCAGTAAAAAGTAACTAGAGTACAAATGTAATAGAAAAGATCTTTATGCTATCTGTAATTATTGAAGCCTTCAAAAAGTCGGTTATGTTCCTCTGTACACTTTCGCAAATCGTTGTTTGGTATACAGCGACTGGGCTTTATATCACCTTGCATAGCTCATCAGCCAGACTAGAAGGGATTCACCCTGTGTAGATTCACCCCTTGGGTAACCAATCAGAACAACAGATTCGCTTTATCTTTCCTGCGTGTGGATAAAAAATCATAAAATTAGAGATGGTAAATCCCCAAAGAGGCGCCACCTAGCACTGAATTGCCAATAATAATCAAGGGTCTAGGACTCCTATAGAACTACATCAAAGGGACATTCAAGACACACCGCCAAAAACTTGGGAAAATAGCAAATGATTGAAAAGGGATCTTGTTGATCCAAATGAAGTACCGGTCGTATCTCAAGTTACCCTTCCTCTCGTGCAGGGGAGGAGGGGGTGGGGGTTAAGGTGGCGCAGTGGTGACAGCAGTCGCCTCCCACCAATGTGGCCCGGGTTCAAATCCCTGCGTCGACGCCATATGTGGGTTGAGTTTGTTGTTGGTTCTTTCCTGTGCTCCGAGAAGATTTTCGCCTGGTACTCCGTTTTTCCCCTTTCTTCAAAAGCCAACATTTTCAAATTTCAATTTCGACGAGGAATACTAGCCGAAGAACCACTGTGTGCATGTGCTACCTCTAAACCGTTATTTACGTATGTATTTATTTCTTTGTTTCAGTTTTTGTTTGTTTCAGTTTTTGTAGTCTCCCTCACAGCCGTTTTTTGGATGTCACGCAACGCTTCCGCAACGCTCGTTGCGTGACATCCAAAAAAAGGCTGCGAGGGAGACTACAGTTTTTGTGGCTCTTTTAAAAAGTATAAAATGCAAACTTATATGTAAATATCTTCTTACCCCATCTCCTATAAGGTTTTGTTATAATCTAAAACGATGGTCAAAGTACTTTCCATGACTTTGGTATACGGCATGTAAATGAAATATCGTCATCAAACTATATTTGCGTAGGTATTTTGAAGTTATTTTACAACCAATTTAGCAAATTCGATTATTTATCCCGCGCTGATCGAAACTAAAGTAGTTGTCAATGCTTAGAAACAGAAACCTGGCAGAGAAGATCTAAATTATAATAATTTCAATCTGTCAAGTTTCCTTAGTGAGCTTTGAAACTTTTGATGATAGCGTCACCTTGTTGGAGGACCAGAGAATTTTTTCCGATCATGAAGACCTTGAACAAAACTGAGACAACCTGCTACGGCTTTTACTTTACAGGTGTCACCTCTGATAATACGGGAGAACTTTTCGTGACAAATATTCTGACATGCATCCTCAATGTATTGTTCAGTAACATAACATGTGTGGGCAACTCTACGATTCTTCTTGCGATTAAAAATACACGAGATCTTCACACGCCATCTTACGTCCTTCTGGGCTGCCTGGCTTTTTCTGATCTTCTCGTTGGCCTCTTATGTCAGCCACTTTTCGTGGGGGTTAAGATAGCTGAGTTTGAAAGAAGCTTTACTGTGTATTGTTGGTTAGGAATGCTTGAGACCAGATCAGCTTGGACAACAGCAGGCGTTTCGTTTTTGATAGTAGCTGCAGTGTCCGTTGACCGACTAATCGCTTTACACCTCCACTTGCGCTACAGCTCATTTGTCACCGTTTCTCGGGTTTTGCAAGCCACTCTGGTTATTTGGATCTTGTCCCTTACATTGAGTGTCGTGCTAAGGTTTTGGATGATGACCGCCGAATGGTTTTTCATCCCGTTGGTCATTTTCGTTGTTGTATCCCTGGTTCTAACCGTCAGTACCATGAAGATATTTCGGATGGTTCGAAGACACCAGCGCCAGATAAAAAGACAAACTGAGGCCGTGAGCAATCTTCAATCCAACACAGTGAACGTTCTCAAATGCAGAAAGTCAGCTGTCACTGTACTTTATATTTACGGCTTGTTTATGATATGTTATGTCCCTTTCTTTGGAACGCTGATCACAGACATGCTCCATCGATATACAATCAAGATACAAATCGCTTATGATTTCTCTGGGACTGTTATTTTCGTCAACTCCTTTATAAATCCGGTAGTGTACTGCTGGAGAATTCGGGAGATAAAAAACGCTGTAAAGAACATTCTAAGGGGGTGGGGTGGGGGACGGAATGAATAATACCCCCACTCCTGGAAGTCAAAATGATTTCCTCGATGCCAATATGAGGGAGCAAGGGTGGGAATGGGTATGGGAAGCAATGTTGGCGCACTATTGGGAACGTTCTCTTCCAATGTGGCGCGGGGTTCAAATCCAGGCGTCGACCACATATACGTGGGTTGAGTTTGTTGTTGGTTCTCTCCTTTGCTTTGAGAGGTTTTTCTCTGGGTCCTCAGGTTTTCCCATCTCCTCAAAACCAATTCTTTCAAAGTCCAATTCGATCTGTAGCGCACCGTCACGTCTAAATTAGTTCTCAAAAACTGCTAAGTGCTTTGTGGGTAAACACTTACAATTACGAAAATCAGTCTGCGAATTTGCTTTAATAATGTTAGGCTCTGTGCTTGTCCTTTTTTATCCTTCTACTGCAGAGGACGTTGTTTCTGTTTCTGTTGACCGGAAGAATAAAGAAGTGACCGGTCTTCATACTTTGATAAATAACTAGAAAGTAATTCAAAGTAGGATTCTATTTCTTTCGCACAAAGCGACATATACTACACATCTATAGTATAAACACCATGAGAAGGAGTGTTTCATCTGATATCCAAACAGCGACAAGTATATATTAAACACGAGAAGGAGCTATCCAAACACCAAGAAGTAATATGTCAAACAGGAGAAGAAATATTTCATCTAATCTCCAAACACCGAGAAGTAACAAATTTAACACGAGAAAGAGTGTTTTATCTATATCCAAACACTGAGAAGTAATATAGTAAATACGAGAAGGAGCGTTTCATCTGATATCAAAATACCGATTATATATCCACACACGACTGTGTGGCCCTACCATGAATACAAGAATGTGGGAGAAACGTGTTAGCCAAATTTTTGATTACTAAATTATAAACACATAATAAATACTCACAGGTAGCCCAAGCTCGAAATATGTCAAATATGAGCATCGACGAACATCGGCAATGTTGCGTTATAAAATATAAGTATTTGTATGGCAAAAAAACCTATCGTTTCCGTAACCTACGAAAATGAAAGTATTTCAATAAAAAACAGCTTACCTTACATAAAATGTGTGTTACGTCTCTCCTGTGTGGTCCATGGGCCGATTTATGGCCGTTTAATGGGTTGTACTGTAAACAGTTCTCTGTATATATAGAGGTTTAAGATAAAACGCATTTGATAATCAGCAATGTTTAATAACAGTCAGCTGAACAGTCTCTGATCGGATTCAAATCGCTTCCAAAACAACGCATAAAGACACAGGAACACAGGTAAATACATCTAATTATTCTATTAGCTAATACAGAGTTCGAGCTCCCTCTAGTCCGTCCTTAACAGTGAGCCAATTAAAAGATAAACCGTCTTAAAACGTTCCGAATTAAAAAGAAAGCCTCCTTTTGTGATGAGAAAAACCCGCATTTTACAAGCATTTTACTGCGAAGAGTAGAACTTTACGATAAAGCATTTTATAAGAAAACAAAAATATTAAAGAATAACGTGAAAAAAGACTAATTTACAAGAGATCATAAGTCATTTGGGGTAGTTACCCACTACACAAACCATACAGTTGAAAACGGTCAATTGTGCAAGATTGACTCGCTACAAATTGTTAGCAATTCAGCTGAAGAGACAATAAAGTTTCGCCTCAGTCTATGCGTACGACAGGTAATATTTTCTGAAGCGCTCTAAACGGATGCAGATTACGACAAAGTTTTGATTTACAAATTGCGACAGGGGTTACAAATTACCACGATTATTACAACAGAGCACTGTTTTCGCTTTTGTTCAAAGCACTCTTGCTTTTTTGGATTGTGTACTTTATATATGGCATCCTGTACTAAGCAGTTTTTCTTCGGTCCTGATTGCTGATTCCTTCTTTTAATCCATGTATTCTGCATTGTACGCTCAAACACACGGACACCATGGCCAACAAACAGTGATAGCTACTTCAAGTCAACACAGTGACATAACTTCCCTCACTCATGAACAGAACTGAAAAAGCCTGTTTATATTTTAGTGGCATCAGCTTCGACAAGGCGGAAGAACTTTTCGTAACAAACATTCTAACTTGTATCCTTAACTTATTGTTCGGTGTCGACAATTCTTCTTGCGAATAAAAAAACCTTGATCTTCACACGCCATCGTTCGTCGTTTTGGGTTGCTTGGCAACCTCGGATCTTCTCGTTAGCCTCATATGTCAGCCGCTTTTTGTGGCGTTTAAAGTAGCTGAACTTGAAAGAAATTTAACTGTGTACTGTTGGTTGAGACTGCTCCAGGGCAGAACGGCTTGGAATACATCTGGCGTTTCTTTGTTGACAGTAGCCACTGTTTCGGTTGACAGACTCCTCGCTCTAACTCTTCATTTACGATACGAGACTTTAGTCACTGTTCCACGAGTACTTCAAGTCACTTTAAAATGTGTGGAATTAATTCCAGATTTAGTTTCGACCTCATTGAGTCCTTTATTAACTGTAGAACATTTAAAGAGAAGCCACCCAACCTTCAGGGCGGATCGAGCGCAGAGCTCTCAAACGTCTCCATTGTGAAAAAGAAGAACAAACGCAGTCTGTGCTTTTGAGAGTGCGCGTGTTGCCTTGACTCTTCTCAGAGCAGGAAAGGCTGCTTTATCTGCACGCGATGCCACACCCTCGTTCACCCACAAAGCAAAGATAAATTAGCCGCGTTTAAACACACTTATAAAAGGAAAGAGAAGACGCAGCATAACGCAATTTTGGAAATGTAGAGCTGATGAGAAAATGACGGAAAGAAATCACACATCAAGCAAAAATAAATTAGCCGAGTTTAAAGCGACTAAAAAAGATGACATGAAGAAACACGCAATGCTCTTTTAAAATATATAAGAACGAAAGACATCAAATTATATCTAAAAAAAAAAAAAGGCCGAGGAACTAACAAACATTTTAAACTTTTTTTTATATTTCATATTTGCTGCGGAGCGACCGAAGGGAGCGAGCAGCAACATAATCAGGATTTAAAGGAAATATATAAGGGGCGACGAATTCTCGAATTCATCACTTTTTACCACAATGCATTGCATTTAACCACACTTTTTACCACAATGCATTGCATTTAACCAGAGTGCATTGCGCCACGAACAACTCAAATAAAAACACGGGGAAGTTCGGTGGGTGAGAGTGCATCGTTCGCTGCTTAGACTTAGAGTCAGTCTTTGTGGCAAATTTTCAACAGCACGGTTAGAGGTCTTACCGAATTTTAAGACACGCAGGAGTCTTTCAGATGAGTACGATGGTTAACTTGGGGATTGGATTTCAATTCAAGAGCCTTTGACTCGTCTAGGTGTTAAACCTGACGAGAAGATGAGCATTTGCTCTTCGACTCCGCAACACGGGGAATATACAAATTTCAGCTTGCTAGAAGGTGATGTGACAGTGAGAAAATGTCTGCAATGCTATTCTTATAAAAAATGTATAAGCCGGAAATGGATGTGATTTTGACATTCGCTTCAAAATAACAGCGGAAATCGAGATAACAAAACATATGTTTTGTGTCCTACTTTGCAGGACGTGTATCGGCGTTTTGAAAAGCATAATTATGTTCTTTCATTCATTCATTGCCATGGAAGATGGGTTTACATTGTTTTTTCACTGTTAATAGCTCGGTTAGTGCGGCCGGCGATCATCTTGCCGGCGGAAGTTTCATGGAAAAGGAATAAAATGAAAGACTTTTACTAGACTAGTGATTACGTAATCAGCCACTGCGGTGTAGTGGTTAGGTGTAGTTGCGTTGAGTCGAAGGTACCGGGTTCGAGTCCTACCGAATTATTTTTATTTCTACTTTCTTTTTTTTCCGTTTCTTTGTGTTGTTGTTTTCTATAAATATGTAGCTAAATAACTGTTACTTAATAAAGTGCAACAAACAGCAAGAAAAGTATTGTGTTTCGAGAGAAAATATCGTGCACCGTATATTAAATATATGGATAAACAATCTGAATTTCTATTATTTCCTACAATTTACTGTGGGAAAACCAGAGTTGATAACCACTTGATCATTTTCTAAACAACGTTCCCACGAGTTCTTTCTATAGACTGATAGTAATTATTCTAGTACTTTCCAACATGTAAATAGGACATTCAATGCCATTTTCGATTCTTTGAAGTCCCACTGGCTAACTAATGCCAGTATCAACAGAATGTGCCGCAGCATTACTATCTTTTAGATACCCTAGTTTATTTATTTATTTATTTTTCATTTCATTCATTTTATTCAAATCAAGCTGTTATAAGTTACAGAAAATACTACACATAATTACGTATTAATAAGGACAGGTGCAGTTCACAACACATGTAAAACTTCTCACCATATAGTGGCCTGGCTGTATAATTAACTAAATTCCTTTTACAGAATTCGGTCAGCAATATTGCTTTATTATTTCACACCTTAAAGGCATTCCCGAGAAAGGATTGTTTACAACGTTTTTCATAAATGGATTGACTTAGAGGAGGCCAATTTACGCCTGCGCGCCAAAATTTGGTTTACGCAGAAAAAAAGGACAGAAACAGTTTGTCCTATTAAAGGCTTATCTTTTCTATAAAACCAGCTGTCTCTCTCCAAGAGAGGATTTATCCTCTGTTGCTGTCTCTAATGTCATATTGAGCCAATTAAAATTGTCGCAGTGGGGAATAAAGCTTTATAACTTCTATAAGTTGTAGATCGGGTGAATTCTGAGACACGCCATTTTAAAACAGACAATGGCAACATATTACTTAGTGATTGTGCAAATTTTTCAGACAGACGAAATTTATTTATTATTAATTAGTTTTAGGCTATTTAATTGCTTCTCCTGGGAATGAAACAGTTATTGCATCATGTATTTTGTTCCTGATTATAACTAGCATTTAAAGACTGCCGTCATGCATGAGTATTGTTTGTTTGAAAAAAAAGCCACTTGAAAAAGCTTTAATCAAAAACTCGGTTGGATAGGGGACAGAGCTGCAGACAGAGGACAGCTCTAGCTAGCCATGAAACAGATGCCTTTGTTGAAGAGAAGAGACTTGAAGATAGCAAATACATGTGGCGTGATCTAGTCCCTTTAAAAACCTATATTTACTCAATTTTTGGACTTTTGGGGAGGATTTTAGACTGTTCATAGAAACGTGAACAAGACAGAACTTATTTTATAACATAACAAAAATAAAGTGCGCGCTCTGATTGGTCAGTTAGCCATCTACCATTTGCCAGTGGGTGTACCCCAAATTGAGGCCAATTAAGCTAATCTCCTCTCCTGTTTGATAGTTACAGCTTTTAGATGTTTTGCGGACTTTCTTCACCACTGCTTCTAGTCACGTTCAAGAAAGCCCCTGTTTCTTTACAGCTTTTGCGAAGAGGCACCACCTACCGCCGAGTTGGCTATAATCGTCAAGGGTCTTAAGACTCTTATGGGACATTATAGACCCACCACCAAGCACTTTTGAAAAATAACAGATGATTGAAAAGAAACAAAAACCTGAAGAAAATGCAATTTTAATCTTTGAAGTTGCCTTAGTGAACTTTGCACAGTTTTAACTTTTGATGATAGCTTCACCTTGTTGGAGGACCAGAGAATTTTTTCCGATCATGAAGACCATGAACAAAACTGAGACAACCTACGTCGGCTTTTATTTTACAGGTATCACCTTTGACAATACGGGAGAAGTTTTCATAACAAATATTCTAACCTGCATCCTCAATGTAATGTTCAGTATCATAACATGTGTGAGCAACTCTACGATTCTTCTTGCGATTAAAAATACACGAGATCTTCACACACCATCTTACGTCCTTCTGGGCTGCCTGGCTTTTTCTGATCTTCTCGTTGGCCTCTTTTGTCAGCCACTTTTCGTGGGAGTCAAGATAGCTGAGTTTGAAAGGAGCTTTACTGTGTATTGTTGGTTGAGAATGCTTCAGACCAGATCAGCTTGGACAACAGCCGGCGTTTCGTTTTTCACAGTAGCTGCAGTGTCCGTCGACCGACTAATTGCTTTACACCTGCACTTGCGATACAGCGCATTTGTCACCGTTTCTCGGATTTTGCAAGCCACTCTGGTTATTTGGATCTTGTCCGTTATATTGTGTGTCGTGCTAAGGTTTTGGATGACCGCCGAATGGTTTTTCATCCCGTTGGTCATTTTCGTTGTTGTATCCGTGGTTCTAACCGTCAGTACCATGAAGATATTTCAGATGGTTCGAAGACACCAGCGCCAGATAAAAAGACAAACTGAGGCCGTGAGCAATCTTCGACCCATGACAGTGAACGTCCTCAAATGCAGAAAATCAGCTGTTACTTTACTTTATATTTACGGCTTGTTTGTGATATGCTATGCCCCTTTCATTGGAACGCTGATCACAGAGATGTTCCATCGATATACAATCAAGGAACAAATCGCTTATGATTTCTCTACGACTGTTATTTTCGTCAACTCCTTTATAAACCCGGTAGTGTACTGCTGGAGAATTAGGGAGATAAGAAAAGCTGTAAAGAACATTCTAAGGGGGTGGGGTGGGGGACGGAATGAATAATATATACCCCTACTCTAGCAAGCCAAAATGATATCCTCGATGCCAATATGAGGGAGCAAGGGTGGGGATGGGTATGGGAAGCAATGTTGGCGCACTATTGAGAGCACTCCCCTCCAATGTGGCCCAGGTTCAAATCCAGGCGTCGACGCCATTTGTGGGTTCACTATGTTGTTGGTAGTCTTCATTGCACCGAGAGCCTTTTCACCGAGTGATCCCGTATCCCCTATCCTCAAATCCAAAACTTTCAAATCCCAGTCGATCTGGAGCGTACTGTTGGGAAAGAAATAGGTGATGCTTAACTTTATTATTTAATGATTGAATATTAATTAGAAAGTCCGAGTATATTTACAATAAAAATGATGTAACTGCATGCATTTTCTTAGGCTAAATAAGGTGAAAGAACGTGCGATGTTGTAAGAGTCACTTAGTTTAGATACATACAATGGGAACTTTTACTGCACATCTGATCAATGTAAAAGTACTGCCTTACGCAAGGATAGTAGAAAAAAAAACCTCTGTATTACTTAGAATGTGTTAGTTGTTAGTTGATCGTAGAGTGACGGCGATATTTGATCGTTGATCGTTGTGTTACGACCTGAATATGTGAGAATTGTGCATCGCAGTAGATTGTTGGATTGGATTAAATCGTGCTGTTACATCGAAAGATACAGTCCTCTTGATTTGTTTCAACCAGCGAGCGGGGTTAAAAGAATTCCGCAACACGTACGTACACGTTGAAATGAGTTCTCAGAAAAACTCCTAAGTTCTCTGTGGGAACAAATTACAATTAGAAAACTTTACAATTTGACATCAGCCTCTGTACAAGTAGTTATTCATCCTGGCTAGCACGACGAGGTTATTTCTGTTTCTATCGGCCAGAGGAATAGAGTCTTTATACTTTGACAAATGACTTGGAGTGATTCAAAGTTGGATCTTCTGTTTCCTTTGCATAAAGAGACGAAAACTATACATAGTACCCAACTGTATACTCAAGTGTTTCATCTGATTTCCGAACACAGAGAAGTAATATATGAAACACGAGAAGGAGTGTTCCATCTGATATCCAAAAACGGAGAAGTAGTACATCAAACACGAGAAGGAGTGTTTCATCTGATATCTTAATACCTGAAAAGCATATATCCAAAAAGCGAGAAGCAATATATTAAACACGAGAAAACTGTTTCAACTGATCAAGACACCTAGAGGTAATATGTCAAACACGAGAGGGAGTGTTTCATTTGATATCCAAACACCCGAAAAGCATATCCAAAAAGCGAGAAGCAATATATTAAACACGAGAAAACTGTTTCAACTGATCAAGACACCTAGAGGTAATATGTCAAACACGAGAGGGAGTCTTTCATCTGATATCCAAACACCCGAAAAGCATATCCAAAAAGCGAGAAGCAATATATTAAACACGAGAAAACTGTTTCATCTGATATATCCAAACACCTAGAAGTAATATATCAAACACTAGAGGGAGTGTTTCATCTGATATCCAAACACCTAGCAGTAATATATCAAAAACGGGTAGGAGTGTTTCATCTGATATCCAAACACCTCGAAGTTATATATTAAACACGAGAGAGAGTGTTTCATTTGATATCCAGACACCGAGAAGGAATATATTAAAAACCAAAAGAAGTGTTTTATCCGATAGCCAAACACCGAGAAGGTATATCCAAACACGACTGTTTGGCCCTTCCATGAATACATGATCGTGGAACAAAACGTTAACCAAATTTTCAGGGACTAAATTGTAAACACATCATAAATGCAAATACAGCATTTTTGAAAAAGAGCCCGTCCTTAACAGTGAACTAATTAAAAGATAAGGTGGTCAAATTTCCTAGGTCCTAATAGTTTTTACATTGTTTGCTTAAGCTCCCCGTCAATAGGTTAAGCATTATTCCAGCATTTTAGAGGCATTTTCCAGTGATCTTTTTCTCTGAAAAAAAAAAGAGAATGGAAACATTGTTTAAGAAAACTCGAAAGAAATTAGGTTAAATTCCACTTTAATGCCTCTGTGTCTAGGATCATTTTTTGCTGTATTGAACTATTAATGAGTATATACCAGACTGAAAAAACTTTGTCGTTTGAAAAGCTGAGTATAAACCACACACGATGAGACTAACTAGAGTTAAGGGTAGAATTATATTATCGTTACAAATTTAGAGTTTTTCTGGAACAGCTTACATTATCTTGAGCTTCTCTTACAGATGCCAATCCCAGGAATACTTAAATTAACCCTTCCGGGTAAACTTTTATGGCTCCAGTCATCTTATGATTTTCAAGTTTTTGTTGGTCATGGGGCAAATCTCTATAACTAGAGACGTCCCTGAAGAAACATTTGCTAAAAGGGGAAAGTCGTCGGCTTGTCAGCAAGAACACTGGAACCTTTTTATTGAATTTTACGTCGTTGAAATGCATTGGTGTGAGAATCGTGTGATAGTTTAAGCCGCGAACTCTTAATTTTCAATGCTAATAAACTTCTACCTATAAATACATTTAATAGGTCTCAAAAACTCATTGCTTATAATTTGCAATCGACAGAGTTTTTTCAAACAGGTGTATACAATGCTGCCATAACACTTAATACATACTGTTTTGTTAGCCTTAAGCCCTCGTAAATTAATTGTTGAATTAAAAGAAATAAGCCTCTTTATCATAAGACAAATCCGACAGAATTTTGATGACTCTTTTGGGGGTTTAACAAGCATTCCAGTGCGAAAAATGGAGCATTAAGGTTGAGCATTTTTAGGGGAAACAAATACAGAATGTGAAAAAACCTTTTAAAATTATTTACGAGAGCCCATTAGTCATTTGTCAGCTGGCGTGCTTACCAATTACACGAAACATGCAGTTGAAAACGTACCCTGGTCCCAGAGGTTTTCCTTGATTTTTCTTTGCGAAAGAGATCAAGAGCAAGCCGCGAAGCGGCGACAACGAGTTGCGAAAGCGACGAGGAGAGAGAGAAAAACCTCTGGTTACCTTGGCCTCGAATCTCACTTTCATGCTGATGACAGCTGTCAAACGCGTCAAATTGCTAATAAAAAGAGTAGCCTGCGAAAACATCCGTTTCTCCTCGCTCTTCGCCGCTGGGGACATAACTTCCCTCACTCATGAACAAAACTGGAAAAGCCTGTTTATTATTTAGTGGCATCAGCTTCGACAAGGCGGAAGAACTTTTCGTAACAAACATTCTAACTTGTATCCTTAACTTATTATTAGGTGTCGTAACATTTGTGGCCAACTCTACAATTCTTCTGACGATTAAAAAAAACCGCGATCTTCACACGCCATCTTTCGTCCTTTTAGGCTCCTTGGCAGCCTCAGATCTTCTCGTTGGCCTCGTATGTCAGCCGCTTTTTGTGGCGGTTAAGATAGCTGAACTTGAAAGAAATTTAAATGCGTACTGTTGGTTGAGACTGCTCCAAGGCAGAACGGCTTGGACTACATCTGGCGTTTCTTTGTTGATAATAGCCGCTGTTTCTGTTGACAGACTCCTCGCTCTAACTCTTCATTTACGATACGACACTTTAGTCACTGTTCCACGAGTACTTCAAGTCACTTTCCTTTTCTGGATCTTGTCTATGATATTAAACGTTGCTCTAAGATTTTGGATGACCAATGTATGGCTTTTCATCCCTATGGTCATCTTTTTTCTTACATTTATTGTCATTACGATAAGTACTTTGAAAATTTTCCAGACTGTGCTTAGACACCAACGTCAGATAAATGACCAAAACGCTGCCGTCAGCCATCTTCAAAACAACACCGTTAACGTACTGAAATGTAGAAAATCGGCTGTAACCGTGCTCTATGTTTATGGCTTGTTTGTGATATGCTATGTCCCCTACATTGCAACACGCATCATAGCAGAACTTCTTGGATACACAACGAAAGTGTTCATCGCTGATGATCTCTGTGAGGCAGCTATTTATATTAACTCCTTTTTAAATCCAATCGTGTACTGCTTGAGGATAAGGAAGGTGCGACGAGCTGTGAAGAATATCCTAAAACGAGAGTAGGAACCTTAGGCAACGACAACGGAGACACTTTGCACGTGCATCACGCCTTTTGTACAATTTCTTTGTCGTTACAGCACGACTGCGTCGTGAAAATGCCTAATTTCACGTTTTGTGGAAGACGTGAACACAAAACAGGAACTTTCTTTTTCTTTTCCTGAACTTCGAGACAGTCGTATAGAACTCAGATCAAGAAAAATATGCCAACATTTGACGAATTCAACAATTGGTTGTTTTGAATTGCAAAAATGTTGGTAACCCGTTAACATACTTAAAAATGATGAATGCTTCTAGGAACAATATGTGCTGCAACGATGTAAATATTTCGCACTACACTAAAAGTATATAAATACAAGGCGAGTACTTAGTGTAGCTTCGGAACCCTTCCAGTGATCATTTTAATTTATGCCTGTGAAAAGGGCATTTATTTTTTTGTTCAGGAGATGTGACTACACGCATAGCTTTACCATAAGAAATGTTTCAGTAATACAGTGTTCAAGAACAATAAAGTTTTGAATGTTAGTACTAAGAATTGCAGTAAGATGGACAGCATATTATTTCAGGTTTTAAAGACAAAATATTGAGGGGAAAATCTACATCTAAACGTTGACATTCGGCATATTATCTTCATCTTTAATTTAGCATGGTATTCAGCAGCTGGTGTTCTGAATATATTGAACCAAGAAGTTAAGATATAAAGATCTGTGGCAGTTTTACAGCGGACTCAGGAAAACTTTTTCAGTTGTTTTTTTTTAGGGGGGAAGACTATTTGCAAAGACAGAGGGTGACCTTTAGTGCTTTTTTTGTCCATAACATAAGCCATAATAGAGACGTTGCTTTGCAGCTAGCGACTTCAATCTGTTAATAATGCCAATTACGCGTCTTGTCGCCATGGAACTTGAGAATGAGAAATTTAATACTTATGACATGTTATGAATGACAAAATTACAGCTTTGTGTAAAAAAATATGTCTAGTCATGGTCTTTATTTCAAACGTTTAAAACAACAAATAATTCTGAACTTGTTATGCTACTAGGTTTTCAAAAACCACAATTGCAATCCGCTTCAATCTTCTTCAAGTTTGTCCATCTTTGTCTCTTTTTGTATTTGCTGTGATATCATGGTGATTGATGCCTTCTTCTAAAGTTTTAAGCGGTTAGTTTTGTTTGCTTAGTTTGGTGGCAGTTTTCACTGGTTGACTTTTGATAAATATTTTTACACGGCTCTCTTAAAAGGGCCGTTTATACGAGGAAAATTGAAGGTTACATGGTAAAACTTCTAAGCGGAAAAGTTAGGTTCACCAGGTGCGAGCTAACTCGTTCAAAATTTTAGACTCCATATTAAAAATTACTGCGTAGTAACTACATTGTTCTCGTTTTTTTCTCTGATGTATTCTGGAAAGGCAGCTTTCGAAAAGTCCATCTATTTCAGTCACCCGACACCATTGCCTTGCTTGAAGTTCCCAAATAAAAAATTTCGTTTGTTTTTTGCCGGATTACACCTGTAATAGTGGTTGGGAGTAGGAAAAGTAACACAAAAATAGACATTGGAGACTCTTGTATGGGTATTTGTGACGAAATCGAAGTCGCGACGATCGGTATTAATAAAACGACGATCTTCACTCAGTATTATAAAGCGACGATCGCATTGCCATTCCGATCAAGTTATACAACGTTAGACGTGAGATGAAACTGTCAAAAATATAAAGTGTACTTGCACGTTAAAAGCTTTTGTTTTTCTTATTAAACCTGCGGCTATTTTATTTCCAGGGGCACCCAACGATAGTTTCACCCTAAATACATTGAAACCTCTTATTAGGCTATCCAGAGTAACTTTAGATATCTGGAAATCCATTCTAAGCGGCGCTATAAAATTTGTATCTGAGTTTTCGGTCATACTAGGGAAACTTGAGTCTTTTCGAAATTACAAGGGCTTTAGTGTTATTTGCCCGAAAATTTTAGCTGCGATTAAAAGTTTTACGAAAGGGAAAATTTTTCTGATTCCTCTTTGCATCGCATTTTCGTTTCCGAACATTTTGGGTTTCCTTTTTCTACGCGTGAAAAAAAAGATTAATCTAGTCAGTGAAATGGGAAAAAATAGAGTTCAGAAAATCATAGGGAATTTATTAGATAAGCTTCGAAAATTGTACATGAATAGAACGGTCATCTAGAAATTTTTAGCCTTCCTCAAACTGTAGAAAACTCTAAGCAATTTTTGCTTCTCCGAACAGATATTTCACAGAAAACCGTCGTTGGGTGCCCCTGTATTTTGTCGATCCCTTCGTCGGTGGCGTGGTTGCTCGAGCCCGCTAGCAGCGTTACCACGCGAAACCATTCTTGATATCCGACGATTTCAGTCGTTGAAAGACCGACGATTTGATGGAAAAACGCAACGAAAACGTTTACAAAAACGCATTGCCGAGAGGCTCACGATACCTGCTCAAAAGGCCTCTTTTTCAGCTGACTTTAGATAATGACTTCCTCACAGTTTTCAAGTTGGCTATAGTGGTCAGCATGGCTGAATTTTAGGACAGCCAATCGTCATTGTCATGCTGAGCAAAAAGAACTATTGATTAAATAATACGTACTAAATAAATTCGGCTGTTTACCCTGGGAAGGCTAATTTTTATGGCCATGTTAATTTGTATGCAAATTTGCTCGGCAAAGGTTAAGATGATGTGAAATTATATACTTTAAGGTGACTTGCTTTGCAAGATGACCACTGGAAATTGAAAAATAGTCTAGAGCTTAAACTCTTTTTGTTATCAGAAGGCACTTGGGAAAGATTGGCGTCAGTTTCAAAACTCAAGACGACTTTTGGACAAGCTTCACACATTAACAGGACATTTCCCTTGTCATGAACAAAACAAACAATGATACCTGTTTTTTCTTTGAAGAGAAATTCGTCAACCTCGATAGAACAGAGGACGTTTTTATCATCGACATCTTTGCTGTTATCCTAAATTTTTTCTTTTCTTTATTAACATGTGTGGGAAACTTTCTCATTGTATTTGCGATTGGAAAAACCCGAGATCTTAATTCGCCATCTTTCGTCCTTTTGGGTTGTTTGGCACTTTCGGATCTTCTTGTTGGGCTGATATGTCAACCACTTTTAGCGGCGTTCAAAATAGCTGAACTTAAAAGTAATTATACGGCGCGCTGTACATTGGAGATGCTTCTGCACACAACAGGGTGGATGACGTCTGACGCATCTGTTCTGACTTTAGCTACGGTGTGTGTTGATCGAGTTCTGTCACTAATCCTACATTTACGATACAAAGCCCTGGTAACTGTTCCCCGCATTTTTAAAGCTTTTTCTGCTGTGTGGATCGTATCGATCACAGTTGTAGTTGTTAGGTTTCGTATGGGTAGTGGATGGTCTTTCGTTGCGATTGTCGCATTTCTTCTTCCCTTCCTTGTCATAGCCGTTTGTACGTTAAAAATATTTCAGGTTGTTCGAAGACACCATCGCCAGATAAACGATCAGTCTAAGGCTCTCAGCTATCTTCAATCCAACACAGTAAATGTACTCAAGTGCAGAAAATCAGCCGTGACAGTGCTTTATATTTATGGTCTGTTCGTTATTTTCTACCTGCCCTACTTTGTAGTGATGGTTTTGCAAATGAACGTTGTTGGATTCACAATAACATTGAGGATTGCCTGTTACTATGCTACTGCTGTTTTTATGAACTCTTCTTTGAATCCGCTAGTATATTGCTGGAGAAATAGAGAGATACGACGAGCTGAAAAGAGTATCTTGAGAAGAGATCGAATGATAACTCCAGTCCAACTCGAATGGCCATCAAACACACCATCTCGATGTCGCCCCAGTCATGCCAGACCATCGCATTCGCGACAGACTCTTCCACGACGGGTTACTGCATGGAAAGCGATCCCACGGCGGCCCAAAGAAGTGCTTTAACCTTTTAAGCCGCAATCATCCAGTCCACATACAAATTCTCCAAACTGATCGCCATACATTTTCTTAAAGAATATGTCGAGAGAATTTGAAAAAAGATCAAGGCGTTTTCTCTTTGGTGATCAGTTTATTAATTCTGTTAACCTAATTTCTTGACAATTTATGGATATCGATAGGAGAAAATTGAAGTTGGTCAAATGAATTGCGCTCTAAGCATTTGGCATGGACACTGATACCTGAAAACATGACATTTGAAAAGGCGACCGCCTCTCGTAAACGCCGGACCACGTTGTTTGTTTTATCAGCCAATGGATGAAAAGATCGAAACATGGCCTCTTCGTTTTCCCGCCAAAGAAAACCCTAATGTGGAGAAGGCATTGTTCGATTGGCCAATCGTGTTGCAGTATGACGTCAAAGCGAAGTATCGGTTGATTTCTAGAACGTTCTCGGGCATAAAGTTTTTTCACCCAAGCGTTCGCTTAACCAACCAAATGCAACGTGCGTTCGATAAACCAATCAAATCGCTCTATATTTTCCGTTCGTTTGTTGTTTCTGTTTTGTTCGTGCGTTTTCATTTCGAGGTCATACAAAATCGCTCTAACTAAAACCTCCCGTAAACAACCACCTCTCATAAAAAGAAAACTACTATCTCCTTTCTACAACAAATTTTCGCATCCTCTAACAATTTTGGCAGGTTTTATTCCGTGGGTGGTAAATCGCGGAACACCGCATTTTGACACGTTTTGCATTGTTGTTGCAAAACAAGTCACAAGTCTTTCTTTGTTTCCCGTTTTACCCCTAGCGTAAATCTTCTGAGAAAAGTTAAGAAGCAGCCACCTGCAATGTGAGGCTGGAAATCTTTGTTGCTAGAAATATCTTTATGTCGTAACTCTGCATTAGTACGATGTTTAAAATGTGTGGAATTCCACGTTTAGTTTCGACCCCATTAAATTCTTTACTAACAGTAGAGCATTTAAGAGGAAGCCACCCAACTTTCAGGGCGGATCGAGCCCAGAGCTCTCAAACGTCTCCTTTGTGACAAAGAAGAACAAACGCAGTCTGTGCTTTTGAGAGTGCGCGTGTTGCCTTGACTCTTCTCAGAGCATGAAAGGCTGTTTTATCTGCACGCGATGCCACACCCTCTTTCACCCACTAAGCAAAACTAAATTAGCCAAGTTTAAAGATACTTATAAAAGGAAAGAGAAGACGCAGAATAACGCTGTTTTGGAAATGTAGAGTTGATGAGAAAATGACGGAAAGAAATCACACGCTAAGCAAAGATAAATTAGCCGAGTTTAAAGAGACTCAAAAAGATGACAAGAAGAAACACGCACTGCACTGCTCTTTGAAAATATATAAGAACGAAAGACATCAGTTAGTGTTAAAAGAAAAAAACGGCCGAGGAATTTACAAACATTTTAAACTTTTTTTTGTCATATTTCATTTTTTTTATTTCTTTATTTCTTTATTTATTGTTCATTTCATTTATTTTATTCAAATCAAACTGTAGTAATTACAGGAAGTACATAATTACTTATTAATAAGGCGAAGTGTAGTTTACTACACACGTAACCCTTTTCACCATATAATGGCCTGGCGGTATATTCGGCCACCAGTATTGTTTATTATTTCATACCTCCAAGACGCTCCCGAGAAAGGATTATTAAGGAGGTTTTTTCGTAAATGGATTGACTTAGAGGGGGCCAATTTTTGCCTACGTGCTAAAATTTGGTTTACGCAGAAAAAAGAAAAAGGTTTCTTTTTTCTAACCAGCTGTCTCTCTCTAATGTCATATTCGGAAGATAATTGCCTTGTCAAAACAGCCAATTACAATTGTCGCAGTGGGCGACAAGGCCTTATAACTCCAATAAGCTCAGTGTAGATCGTGTAAATTCTGAGATTCAATTTTAAAAAAGACAGTGGCAACATATCAGTAAGTATGCAAATTTTTCAGACAGACGAAATTTGTTTAATATTACCTTAATTAGTTTTAGGCAATTTAATTTCTTCTGCTGGGAATCAAACAGTTTGTATCTTGTATATTGTTGCTGACATTCACAGACTGCTCGGTTGAATATATAGGAGAGTTAACATTAACCTTTACTCGGCTGAAACAGAAACCTCTGTTGACAGAAGAGACTTTAGGAAGGCTGACTCGGTTGAAAAGTACAGATTTACTTCAAAAAAAAAACCTGTCTCGGATGAGGAATAGAAAGAACGCAGCTTGGTTCATCAGACACCATGAACAAATCAGAGAAAACCTGTTTCTTTTTTGAAGAAAAGTACATTAACCTGACTCTCGCCGACTCCGAAGAAGTTTTCATCGCCAGTATACTGACTTGTTCTTTCGATTTTTTATTTTCTGTGCTAACATGTGCGGGAAATTTCCTGATTGTATTTGCTATTGCAAAAAGTGAAGATCTTCGTTCACCTTCTTTCATTCTTCTCGGTTGTTTGGCAGCTACGGATCTCTTTGTTGGTTTTGTGTGCCAGCCGATCTCTGCGGCTCGTAAAATAGCTGAACTTAGAGAAAATTTAACCGCGTTTTGCACATTAAAAATACTCCACTTCGTATCAGGTTGGATAACATCTGGAATTTCTTTGTTTACTTTAGCTGCAGTGTCTGTTGATAGAGGTCTCTGCCTAATCCTTCACTTACGATACAAAGCGATTGTAACAGTTCCTCGCACTTGGATAGCCACCTCTGTTTTATGGATGTTTTCCATTGCATTCGTCGTTGTAAGGTTCTGGATGAGCAATGTATGGGATCTTATCGTGATGGCCGTAATGTTTCTAGTATTTCTTGTCATAACAACCTGTACCATAACAATATTTCAGATTGTACGAAGACATCAACGGCAGATATGGGTGCACCATGTTCGAGCCAACATAGCTGCCAACACAGTGAACGTATTGAAGTGCAAAAAATCAGCTGTGACAGTCCTTTATATTTATGGTTTGTTTTTAATTGTCTATCTCCCATTCTTCGTAGTATTAATCATTGACGTATTTATTGGATACACAAGAACAGTGAAGATTGCATATTACTATGATGTAACTTTCATTTTCATCAACTCTTGTTTGAATCCGTTTGTTTATTGCTGGAGGATCAGAGAAATAAGGCGAGCCGTGAAGAATATCTTGACAAGAAGATAAATGAGCGATCTTACAAAGGCTATGTCTTTGCGAATATTGTTGTTTAGGTCAATTTCGTGCTTAATTCATTACAGTCGAACTTCTCTAATACGGAGACCGAACGGACAGAGCGAAGTGTCCGTATTAGAGAGGTGTCCGTGAGGGGTCACTACGATGACGTCACTTTTATGACTCCACTTATAGTACAGTTTTATAAGTGTTCACTGGCTAAAACCAGGCTCACACTCGTCTTTAAACTGCGCGCATTTAAAGTTATTAATTCATAGTACAAAGACACTGTCTTTCAGTAGCATACAACATTGTACATCTCAGCTACAGACAAATTACTGTTTTAAAACGAAACGAGCTACAGCGCAATGCTACATGTAAAAAGTTGTAACGTAAAGCACAATTCTGAAAGCGTCTTTCGCTATTTTGCAAGTGCAGTAAACAGTAACTAGAGTACAAAATGTAATAGAAAAGATCTTTATGCTATCTGTAGTTATTGAAGCCTTCAAAAAGTCGGTTATGTTCCTCTGTACACCTTTCGCAAATCGTTGTTTGGTATACAGCGACTGGGCTTTATATCACCTTGCATAGCTCATCAGCCAGACTAGAAGGGATTCACCCTGTGTAGATTCACCTCTTGGGTAACCAATCAGAACAACAGATTCGCTTTATCTTTCCTGCTTGTGGATAAAAAATCATAAAATTAGAGATGGTAAATCCCCAAAGAGGCGCCACCTAGCTCTGAATTGCCAATAATCATCAAGGGTCTAGGACTCCTATAGAACTACATCAAAGGGACATTCAAGACACACCGCCAAAAACTTGGGAAAATAGCAAATGATTGAAAACGGATCTTGTTGATCCAAATGAGGTACCGGTATATCTCAAGTTAACCTTCCTCTCGTGCAGGGGGGGAGATGGTGGGGATTAAGGTGGCGCCGTGGTGACAGCACTCGCCTCCCACCAATGTGGCCCGGGTTCAAATCCCTCCGTCGACGCCATAATATGTGGGTTGAGTTTCTTGTTGGTTCTTTCCTGTGCTCCGAGAAGATTTTCGCCGGGTACTCCGTTTTCCCCCTCTCCTCAAAAGCCCACATTTACAAATTCCAATTTCGACGAAGAATACTAGCCGAATAACCACTGTGTGCATTTGCTACCTCTAAATCGTTATTTACGTATGTATTTATTTCTTTGTTTCAAATTTTGTTTGTTTCAGTTTTTGTGGCTATTTTAAAAAGTATAAAATGCAAACGTTTATGTCATGTAAATATCTTCTTACCCCATCCCCTATAAGGTTTTGTTATAAACTAAAACGATGGTCAAAGTACTTTCCATGACTTTGGTATACGGCATGTAAATGAAATATCGTCATAAAACTATATTTGCGTAGGTATTTTGAAGTTACTTTACAACCAATTTAGAAAATTCGATTATTTATCCGGTGCTGATCGAAACTAAAGTAGTTGTCAATGCTTAGAAACAGAAATCTGGTTGAGAATTCAATCTGTCAAGTTGCCTCAGTGAGCTTTGAACGTTATTAAGAAACTTTTGATGATAGCTTCACCTTGTTGGAGGACCAGAGAATTTTTTCCGATCATGAAGACCTTGAACAAAACTGAGACAACCTGCTACGGCTTTTACTTTACAGGTGTCACCTCTGATAATACGGGAGAACTTTTCGTGACAAATATTCTGACATGCATCCTCAATGTATTGTTCAGCATCATAACATGTGTGGGCAACTCTACGATTCTTCTTGCGATTAAAAATACACGAGATCTTCACTCGCCATCTTACGTCCTTCTGGGCTGCCTGGCTTTTTCTGATCTTCTCGTTGGCCTCTTATGTCAGCCGCTTTTCGTGGGAGTCAAGATAGCTGAGTTTGAAAGGAGCTTTACTGTGTATTGTTGGTTAAGAATGCTTCAGACCAGATCAGCTTGGACAACAGCAGGCGTTTCGTTTTTGATAGTAGCTGCAGTGTCCGTCGACCGACTAATCGCTTTACACCTGCACTTGCGATACAGCGCATTTGTCACCGTTTCTCGGGTTTTGCAAGCCACTCTGGTTATTTGGATCTTGTCCCTTATATTGTGTGTCGTGCTAAGGTTTTGGATGAACGAGGAATGGTTTTTCATCCCGTTGGTCATTTTTGTTGTTGTATCCGTGGTTCTAATCGTCAGTACCATGAAGATATTTCAGATGGTTCGAAGACACCAGCGCCAGATAAAAAGACAAACTGAGGTTCTGAGCCATCTTCAATCCAACACAGTGAACGTCTTAAAATGCAGAAAGTCAGCTGTCACTGTACTTTATATTTACGGCTTGTTTATGATATGTTATGTCCCTTTCTTTGGAACTCTGATCACAGACATGCTCCATCGATATACAATCAAGATTCAAATCGCTTATGATTTCTCTGGGACTGTTATTTTCGTCAACTCCTTTATAAATCCGGTTGTGTACTGCTGGAGAATTCGGGAGATAAAAAAAGCTGTAAAGAACATTCTAAGAGGATGGGGTGGGGGAGGGAATGAATAATACCCCCACTCCTGGAAGCCAAAAAATGATTTCCTCGATGCCAATATGAGGGAGCAAGGGTGGGGATGGGTATGGGAAGCAATGTTGGCACACTATTGGTAACACTCCCTTCCAATGTGGCGCGGGTTCAAATCCAGGCGTCGACCACATTTATGTGGGTTGAGTGTGTTGTTAGTTCTCTCCTTTGCTTTGAGAGGTTTTTCTCCGGGTACTCAGGTTTTCCCCTCTCCTCAAAACCAATTCTTTCAAAGTCCAGTTCGATATGTAGTACACCGTAACGTCTAAATTAGTTCTCAAAAACTGCTAAGGGCTTTGTGGGTAAACAAATACAATAGTCACGTGCGCGCGAAGGTAATTAAGGCGAACAAGTCATTATTCGTATTAGGATCTTTACGTAAGGAAGGAATGTCCCAGGAGGAAGTCGATCACCTTTTTAACGCAATAGTTTTACCAAATTTTTCTTACGCTCTGCCGGTTTATGGTGCCTCAGATTCCGACCTTTCTGTAATACAGAATTTTTTAGACCGGTGTATGAAAAGAAAGTTTATGTCCAAGAATGTAAATATCAGGGATTTGCTAGAGAAGGCGGACAAGACACTCTACAAAAAAAGATCGAATGACCCCGAATGCCCGTTCTTCCAGTTTTTACCTAAGGAAAAGAACATGAGGTACAATCTTAGAAATACGTCAGTCTCTGTCCCTAGAATCTACACTGACAGGTTTAAGAACGTTTTTAGTAACAGAATAATTTTTAGATATGATATGTAAATAGTTTTTTGAGTTTCTATTGTAACTTAGGATATGTGATTTTATCTTAAGAAATAAAGATTATTATTATTATTATTATTATTATTATTATTATTGTTATTATTATTACTTACAATTACAAAAATCAGTCTGCGAATTTGCTTTCATAATGTTAGGCTCCGTGCTCGTCCTTTTTTATCCTTCTACTGCAGAGGACGTTGTTTCTGTTTCTGTTGACCGGAAGAATAGAGTAGTGACCGGTCTTCATACTTTAATAAATAACTACAAAGTAATTCAAAGTAGGATTCTATTTCTTTGCACAAAGCGACATATACTTACACATCTATAGTATAAACACCATGAGAAGGAGTGTTTCATCTCATATCCAAACAGCGACAAGTATATATTAAACACGAGAAGGAACTATCCAAACACCAAGAAGTAATATGTCAAACAGGAGAAGAAATATTTCATCCAATCTCCAAACACCGAGAAGTAACAAATTTAACACGAGAAAGAGTGTTTTATCTATATCCAAACAGTGAGAAGAATATAGTAAATACGAGAAGGAGCGTTTCATCTGATATCAAAATACCGATTATATATCCAAACACGACTGTGTGGCCCTACCATGAATACAAGAATGTGGGAGAAACGTGTTAGCCAAATTTTTGATTACTAAATTATAAACACATAATAAATACTCACAGGTAGCCCAAGCTCGAAATATGTCAAATATGAGCATCGGCGAACATCGGCAATGTTGCGTAACATTAGAAATATAAGTATTTGTATGGCAAAAAAAACCTATCGTTTCCGTAACCTACGAAAATGAAAGCATTTCAATAAAAAACAGCTTACCTTACATAAAATGTGTGTTACGTCTCTCCTGTGTGGTCCATGGGCCGATTTAAGGCCGTTTTATGGGTTGTACTGTAAACGGTTATCTCTCTAGGTAGTGGTTTAAGATAAAATGCATTTGATAACCAGCAATGTTTAATAACAGTCAGCTGAACAGTCTCTGATCGGATTCAAATCCCTTCCAAAACAACGCATAAAGACACAGGAATACAGGTAAATACATCTAATTATTCTATTAGCTAATACAGCGTTTTGGTTCCTTGTAGTCCGTCTTTAACAGTGAGCCAATTAAAAGATAAACCGTCTTAAAACGTTCCGAATTAAAAAGAAAGCCTCCTTTTGTGATGAGAAAAACCCGAGCATTTTAATTACTCTTTCGGAGGTTTACCAAGCATTTTCCTGCGAAGAGTAGAGCTGTACGATAAAGCATTTTAAAAGAAAACAAAAGAATAACGTGAAAAAAGACTAATTTACAAGAGATCATAAGTCATTTGGGGTACTTACCAACTACACAAACCATACAGTTGAAAACCGTCGAAAGCTTTTAAGAGTCTAATGGTGCAAGATTGACTCGCTACAAATTGTTAGCAATTCCCCACTCCAGAAACTATGGGGAATCTGGGCACGAACTTGACTCGTAAGGTCTTCTGGGATCGTTTGGGTGGACGCGCGAAACTTCAAAATGGCGGCAGAGAAAGCCAGCTGTTCCAAAAAAGTTGTTCTATGCGAAGAAGACATTCCCGGAGCGAAGCTTCCTCGGGAAAACGTTGAAGAGTGTACTGTACCACAGCTTCGACGATGGCTGTTGTGTAGAGGAGCGAAAACAAGCGGCAAGAAAGCCGATCTTGTCAAGAGGTTTGCTCAGACGATGGTTTATTATTGATCATTTATCAGGGTTTGTTATTTTGAACTGTCCAGCGTAAATATATACTAAGACATGGTTTGCTTTACTGTTTATTTTAGATATAAAGACTATGTCAAGGGAGGCCTTCATTTAAAAAACTTACGAGATCCGGATGGAGGTGTGCATCTTGCACGAAAGAAAGTCTTACTAGTTTCCATGAAGATCTTACTGATTTGCCTTTTGTAAATTTTGGCACTGTATGGAAGTACATGATCGAGTCCTCCAATGCAAAAAAGCAGCTATCCACAGCTAAACCACTGGTCAAAGGCTTTAACTTTTTTAAGTCCGGTAACTTAGTAAAAGTGACCGTCTGTTTTCGAGAAAATAAGTGGTACTTAAAGAGTCCAGTTTTGCCCTCAATGAAAAAATCAAGCGTCTATAACTGTTTCATCTTGCTCTTACCAAATGGCCACATAAAAAGCGCGTACTGTGGTTGCCCAGCGGGTGTTGACGGTCGATGTAATCATATCGCGGCAACCTTGTTTGGACTTGAGGAATTCTGCAAGCAACGTGAAAAGCAGCAGCAAGAACAGACCTCTCGAACGTCCCAACCTTGCACTTGGAATGTTCCCCGTAAAAGGAAAGGAGAGGTACTGCCCATAAGCCAAATGAAATTTAAGAAGCATGAACATGGGAAAGAAAAGAAAGACCGAGAATCTGAAGTTAAGCGCGATAAGGACGTGAGAGCCCCCCACCAAAGGGAATGGTCCAACACCAGACAATATAATGTGTTGACTTCTGTTCTCTGTGTTCAAGAGGAAACGGGGCAAACTATAGGTCTTAGTCATATTTTACCTCTAAAGACAAGTAACAATTTAAAAGAAATAATTGGCAAAGAACATAGCTATTGTAGAGTAGATAGCATAGTTCAAAATAGAGAAAGCACTGGTGAGTCTGTTCACAAAGAATCAGCCCCTGAAAGCTTAGCTTCAAGTCAAACGGAAGTTCCTGAATTCAACAGTCATCCTTTTTCAATGGATATGCTGCAAAATGAATGCCAAAACGTCAAGCGGAAATTATTTCTCAATGAGGAAGAAGCAGCAGAGGTAGAAAAAAACACTCGAGGCCAGTCAGCAGACCCTCTTTGGCATGACAGTTGGAACCAAAGAATCACATCATCAAAGTGTTACAGATGTGCTGTACTTAAGGATACCACATCCCCAACAAAAGCAATACAAGAGGTTCTAGGGTACAAACAGTTTGCTCAAACTAAGGAAATGAAGGAGGGTCTTTCTAAAGAACCAGAAATTATACAAGAATTTTTAAATACTATGAATGAAAAGGGACACAAAAGAATAAAAGTAGAGAGATCAGGACTTATTGTAAGTACCTTACATGGTTTTCTGGCAGCTAGTCCAGATGGTTTGGTAAAGGACCCCTCACACGAACCACCCGAGGGAATGTTAGAAATGAAGTATATTCAAATGAAAGAGGACGAAACACTGACGGAGGCATTGCTAAGGAAGAGAATTTGTGTGTAAGACAATGAGGAACTAACTGTAAATCGCCGTCACCAGTACTTTTACCAAGTGCAGCATCAAATGTATGTTGCAGGTCGATATTGGAATGATTTTGTGGTGAAAGGGTCATTGTCAACTGAGCTCTTCATCAAAAGAGTACAATTTGATCCAACTTTCTGGGGCCCAGTGCTTCTCAAACTGAACCAATTCTTTGAAAAACACATGCTACCTGAACTTGCATACCCGAGGATTAAATATGGTTTACCCAGATTAGATATGTTGTAAATGTATAGAAACGTCTTTGATAAATGTCTTTTCCCATTTAAAGAACCTGCAAAAGGTCTGTAAAAAGAAGTGAATGAGCTCTGAAGGCAGGATCATGCATGCCCTAAGACCGTTGAAATGTAAGTCCAGAATTTTAATGCAGCTTCCAACATTCTGAGGAGTATGTCAGTGTTTTCTTTTCAAGAATTCAAGCAAGTATTTTTACAGTTTGTAGCTGGTTAAACTTGATTTCATGTTAAACTTTTTCCAACCTTAGTTATTTCACCTCTTTTGTCTCATAGCCCTAATTATTTATTAGTGCCTACAGACAAAAAGGTTTAACCTGCAATCAAATATAACCTGTAACATGCACATTAATGGTTTGGTATCATATATTCATGTTTTATGAAGACACAAACAAAATAAACAAAGAAAATTTGTTTAAAGGAGCAAAAGTTTACTTTGTTTACATTTCACTATTCTTCAGATAACGAAACGCATAACAATTCAATATTACAATTTTTCTTTTTATGAAATAAGTGGAGGGTGGAAAGTAGTGAGTGCGTCACTAACAATAAAAATGTCTGAAGCTATTCCTGCGAGGGAAACTGGAATAGGTTTATCTAAAATATGCCAATTCTTTATTCGCTCCATACATCTTTCGACGTGAACTCTCAAACTTGCTACTTTCTTGTTTTTTCTCCTTCTTCTTTAGAAAACTGCTGTTTTCCTTTTTGAAAAAGGCAGGTATTATGAGGGTTGCACCAACTGCAGCAAGCTCATCTTGAATGAGAAAGCCTTTATCAGCCATAATTTCATCATCTTGCTCCAACAAAGCTAGGAAACCACTCTTTACTGTAATTTCTTTGTCAGTAATACTACCAGGGTATAATTCACTGGCAAATCCAATGACACCACTTGGGGTAATTCCCACTAGGCTTTTCATGGTTGTTCTAGATTTGTACGAAGAGTAACAGGAGGACTGATTATCCAACGCAGATGGACGCTCCATTTGTATTTCAGTGCAGTCAATAATCAATGCTGTCTTGGGATAAAATTCCTTGAAAAGTTTAGGCATGTGTTCCTGAAGAACATCTCGTGGTGGAGTGATAATAAGTTCCTGAAGTTCAAGGCGTAAAAATCGAATCCATGTTCTAAATATTACAGAAACTGTTGACTCGGAAATTTCAAATCTGTGAGCCAAATCTCTTTCAAACAGGCCAAGCCTTAGTCGCATCAACACAAGAACAAACTCCTGAAAGGTTGTAAGAATTCTTGGTCGACCTGGTTGCCAAACTGGGGGGCAATCAAAACATTTTCGATCATAGTTTCCATAGCTTATGTTTTTCGCTGCATCCTTCACCATATCAAAGCAAAGCATTAGTGTTTTATAATTGGGAAATCCAGTGTAAAAAGCAATGTCTGAGTCCTTATCTTTGAACTGATTAATGTCAAATCTAAGCAATTCCGTTTGGGTGCCAAAATTTGCTTTTACCGTTTCATAACATTCAGTTTGCAAAGATTCATCTTTGTTTTGTACTTGTTCATAAAAATCCGTTTGCATACCTTGATCACTGGTGAGCAGCACATCCTCCGTCTGACAGAGATCACTTTCCGACAAAGTGTCTTGGGAATGGTCTTTGTTAAGAGATGCAAGTCTTCGATTTTTTTTACATATCCTTGATTTCTTGACAATTTTTTCGGGAGAAACACGCTTTAAAACACGCCTAGTTGACGCATGTTTAGACCATGGAAAAATCGACGGTAAATGAAGCCTGCTGCGCTTATGTCCACCCTCGAAGTGATCTCCACAAATACGTGTATTATCGGCGTCGAGTTTTAATGTTGCATTACGAATTAGAATCTTGTACTGTCTTCGCAGTTTTTTGTCCTTTGGAATTCGGTAATACGAAAGCCCATGCTTGGTTCTGTAATTATCCGTACATCCAGGAACACAACAATTAGCATGCTTTGCCATTTTTCTTCAGTGTTTTGCGAGGAAAACTTTCCTCGCTACCGCCATTTTAAATGTCTTGCGTGTCCACCCAAACAATCCCACAAGACCTTACGAGTCAAGTTCGTGCCCAGATTCCCCATAGTTTCTGGAGTGGGGAATTCAGCTGAAGAGACAATTTTAAACCAGCATTTCGAAACACTGCAAAAAGTTTCGCCTCAGTCTATGCGTACGATAGGTAATATTTTCTGAAGCGTTCTAAGGGACCGGTCATTATTTATTGCCTGGGGGGGGGGGGGTTCGGAGGATTTTGGGCTAAACACGATGAAATTTAGCCGATCCCCCCTTTAAATGTTATTTTATTGAAGTGATCCCCCTCATAACTATAAATAACTTTCGTGATCCCCCCCAAACAAAGCGAACAATTTACTGAAGAATGAGAGATATGGAGTGTGCCAAAACATTAAGAAGTTCATTTCAGGCACAAACAGCTGCAACAGCAGTGACGTTGCAAAGTGCGAGTCTTGCTTGAGCACTGTAAATGACACTTTGAACAGTGCGTCTGATTTACGGTCATTGATCGATAGCAAACGTAAGGAGCTGTTTTCAGAGGAACATACTCTAAAGTCATTTGCAGGCGATGAGTTGGCCTATTTAGAAGAAGCACATAGGCAAATCACTACACTGCACGAGGAACTTCAGTCCGCATCCAACAAGTTGACAACAGCGCATATTAACCTGTCAAAGAAGTTTCCTTTGTACGCGAGAAAATCAACAATGTCAAGAAGAAAGAAGGAAAATAAGAGGAAGGTCCGAAAAACCAAGGACAAGCGACTCAAGCAGAGGGCACGTCATCTCTTAGGAAACTTGACCTCAATCGAGGTCGCGGGGCAAATTTTCGGTTCAATCGAAGAGAATGATAGAGTTTCTCCTGTAGATAGCATCAATGCTGACTTTGCTAAGAAACTAACAAGGCGTTCGCATCTAGACCCTTTGCTATGGCTACTAGAAAAGGGTATTTTTAGCACGACCCTAGCAAAAAATCTAGAGCAAGTAGCGGCCATTTTAAGGGCACAAAGTCCAGGGTCAACCTGCCGAAGGGGACTAAATGTTACTGTTGAATCGGATGACGAGGCTCAAGAGGCAAATGAAGTTGTTGAATGGGATGATGAGGCTCAAGATGAGGCAGATGAAACAGTTGAATCGAATTAAGTATAGAGCTGACACAGGACGCCCATTCCTGGAGAGGCGATAAATGGTTTATGTTTAAACAAACACGCTTTTTACAATGTTTCAGTTATCAGAAGTTTATATAGTTCACAATTTAGAATTCACCTGTCATGTTTAAAGATGAATATTAGCTAAGTCATGAGCAAGTTATAAAAGGAAAAGTATAAAAGCGTTAAAACAAAGCTTTCTCGATATAAATTGAAATGCACACATTCGCCAGTGTGACAGACTTCCGTTTTTTAAATAAAGTTGTGTTAGAACAAATTGAGATTGCAAATGCTATCATCTCCCAGCAGAATGGGCACATTTATGTTGTATGCTTTCAAACTGGCATTGTTCAAGCAGATTTGAGTGGTCCCCCCTCTGAATCCTTCCAAAATTTTCAGTGATCACCCCCTTTTGGGCTCTCAGTTACGACGGATCCCCCCTCTGTTCTCCTAAAAATCAAGTGATCCCCCAAAATCCTCCGAACCCCCCGGTGATAAATAATGACCGGTCCCTAAACGGATGCAGATTACGACAAAGTTTTGATTTACAAATTGCGACAGGTGTTACAAATTTCGACGATTATTACAGCAGAGCACTGTTTTCGCTTTTGTTCAAAGCACTCTTGCTTTTTTTGGATTGTGTACTTTATATTTGGCATCCTGTTCTAAGCAGTTTTTCTTCGGTCCTGATTGCTGATTCCTTCTTTTAATCCGTGTATTTTGCATTGTACCCTCAAACACACGGACACCATGGCCAACAAACAGTGATAGCTACTTCAAGTCAACACAGTGACATAACTTCCCTCACTCATGAACAGAACTGGAAAGCCTGTTTATATTTTAGTGGCATCAGCTTCGACAAGGCTGAAGAACTTTTCGGAACAAATATTCTAAATTGTACCCTTAACTTATTGTTCGGTGTCGTAACATTTGTGGCCAACTCTACAATTCTTCTGGCGATTAAAAAAACCGCGATCTTCACACGCCATCTTTCGTCCTTTTGGGTTGCTTGGCAACCTCAGATCTTCTTGTTAACCTAATATGTCAGCCGCTTTTTGTGGCGTTTAAAGTAGCTGAACTGCGTACTGTTGGTTGAGACTGCTCCAGGGCAGAACGGCTTGGACTACATTGGGCGTTTCTTTGGTAGCAGTAGCCGCTGTTTCTGTTGACAGACTCCTCGCTCTAACTCTTCATTTACGATACGAGACTTTAGTCACTGTTCCACGAGTACTTCAAGTCACTTTCCTTTTCTGGATCTTGTCGATGATATTAAACGTTGCTCTAAGATTTTGGATGACCAATGTATGGCTTTAGAAGTGGTGTCTGAGGAGAATTGGCAGTTTTGGGGGGGCAGCAAAAGGGCAGCAAAATTTAATAAATAGCTCTCGAATAAAATGCGCGGCTAACTTGTTTAATTTATGCTAACCATGTTCAGGCAGGTACTAGTAATTATGTCACCGCACCATAAGGTCCACTTGACAGTTTAGCAAGCCTATTAGAAACGGCTAATGTCTTCTATTTAGGGCTAAAAATCGGATATATATAAACAAAACACACACGCATACACAAAGTGGAGCTGAAAACTCTTTATCCAATCTTTATCTCAATTTTGTCTGACTATTACAAAACCGTTTTCTCCTTTCTATCTCAAGGAAACGACTAACTATTGAAGTCTCAGCGTTTCACGCGCCGTTAGTCAGTTAATTATGCGAGTTAACAAGCCCACATTTGCATACAAATTAGTTCAGCTCAGTAATAACGGCATAAAAACGCACACAAAAAAACGATTAATAACT